ATACAGAATGGGGACGTGTGGCTCGAGAGCAGTACCTGTGACAAAGATCTTGGAGTCCTTGTGGACAAGTTAAACATGAGCCAACAATGTGATGCGGCAGCAAAAAAAGCCAATGGGATTTTGGCCTGCATCAATAGGAATCTAGTGTCTAGATCCAGGGAAGTCATGCTACCCATCTATTCTGCCTTGGTTATCCCACACTTGGAATATTGTGTCCAATTCTGGACACCACAGTTCAAGAGAGATATTGACAAGCTGGAAAGTGTCCAGAGGAGAGTGACTAAAATGATCAAGGGTCTGGAGAACAAGCCCTATGGGGAACGGCTTAAAGAGCTGAGCATGTTTAGCCTGAAGAAGAGAAGGCTGAGAGGAGATATGATAGCCATGTATAAATATGTGAGAGGAAGCCACAGGGAGGAGGGAGCAAGCTTGTTTTCTGCTTCCTTGGAGACTAGGACGCGGAACAATGGCTTCAAACTACAAGAAAGGAGATTCCACCTGAACATGAGGAAGAACTTCCTGACTGTGAGAGCTGTTCAGCAGTGGAACCCTCTGCCCCAGAGTGGCAGGCTCCTTCTTTGGAAGCTTTTAAACAGAGGCTGGATGGCCATCTGTTGGGGGTGCTTTGAATGCAATTTTCCTGCTTCTTGGCAGGGGGTTGGACTGGATGGCCCATGAGGTCTCTTCCAACTCTATGATTCTAACTAGATCATATGTGAAGTCTCTCTGGAAAAAAAACTGATTTCTGATAAGCCCAAAGCATCTGATCTAGCAAATGTTCACTTTCATAATGCAATCAAAGTACATGCACTGAAAACAGTCAACTTCCTAGTGGTGATTCTAATTTGTGTATTCATTCTTTCTATGGCTATTCAGTTTACTTATTAACCCTGTTGAGGAAGCTATTCTGGTGCCACGCATGGAGGTCATTAACTTTGTTTACCACTTAACAGAAAAAGCATGTCAAATATTAACCAAGACTGCATCTAGCACACCCTCCAACTTTACAGGGGGAAAAATAGACCATGTTTGTCCAAGCGACATCAGAGTGAGGGAAAGATGGCAATTGGGATTAATGAGGAGGAGCATATAAGCAAGGAAAAAGCTGCAAGAGCGCTTTAGCTCAACATACTGGGAAGGGTGGAAATCCACACCCTCCTCTCCACTCAAATTAACAATTGAGTTAATGACGCCCAACTACTTTCGTACCTTGAACATGATTTGCAGCAACTGAATTAAGCCAACAAAGAAAATGGGATGAGAAGAGAGAAGCTGGAACGTGTTAAAAGCTGCTCAAAGGCATGGCAGAGGATTATCTCTGCCAAGTGGGGACAGTAGGAGAGTACAATCTAGAACAGGATTGGGAACTATGGGTATACAGCTCTTAATGTTTCCAATGGTTCTCCCTGGCACCAGAAGTTACCTCTTTTGTATGCCATAGTAATTAAACTGAGACCTCCATATATAAATGTTTTACGTGCTGAGATTCAATCACCATTGCTTGAAGGTATTAAAATAAAAAAAATCCAAAAGGCAGATGTTGCTTTTGCCATTTTATATAATATATACCATTTTACTCCAGCTTGAGCGCTCCAGCTGGATGTCAGATGTGACCAGCAGTGCTGTAGAATTTGAAGAGGCATGAATGGAGGATGAAAGAGAGAAACATGCCAAGAGGAAGGCGCGTCAATCCAACCCCGATCGAGACCGCCTTCCACCTGAAAACCAATGCCCTCACTGCGGGAGAAGGCGCAGAGCAAGAATAGGGCTCCACAGTCACCTACGGTCCCACCAGAACACCCATCTTGGAAGACTATCCTACTCGGCCAATGAGGGATCGCCTAAGTAAAGTAAGTATGATTTTACTATGGCATCGTAAAGCATGGAACTTGATTTAAGTATTCATGGGTGATCCTAGAGCCAAATCATGGCAGATGCCAAAAGTATCAATCAATCAATCAATCAATCAATCAATCAATCAATCAATATTACAGTCCAAAGACCCAATTTGCTCAGCAGGGAAAGTACACAGCAGATTCATAAGCTGATAAGACCACTTAAAAATGGGATGAGTGCAATGCTAAATGCATATGAACAAGGGTAAAAAGAGTATATTTCCAAGTATACCAAGAGTATATTTCCACACACTTTTCTCTTTCCCCCAGTTGTTTCCTCAATTTGGATTGGGCATCCAGACAATCCTAAACGTGAGACGTGTACAGTACAATGTCTTTCATGTTAGCTGGGTTTTTTGGGCAGGGGGTGGGATACTTTCAGCATAGACAGACAAGGCAGTGAAGCTTTACCAAACATCTGTTCCTCTGAACAGTCTTCACAGATTCAGCCAGTTTTATAACTCCAGGTAGCCTCTTCTGAAGACATTAAACTGTTCACTGCACCACTGCATATAATAATGGAGCGCACAGTGATGCAATGCGTTAAACCCTTGTGCTGGCAGTGCTGCTGAACAAAAGATTGGGGGTGAGCTCCAGTCTGTTAGCTCCAGCTCCCCATGCGGAGACATGAGAGAAGCCTCCCACAAGGATGGTAAAAACATCAAAACCTCCAGGCGTCCCCTGGACAATGTTCTTGCAGATGGCTAGTTCTCTCACACCAGAAGCAACATGCAGTTTCTCAAGTTGCTCCTGACGTGAAAAATATATATAATAACACTGATAGCGTACTGATAAATAACATTATTTCCTGTAGCTACTAGGATTATTTATGTCTTTTATTAGTGACTAGCCGTCCCCTGCCACGGATTGCTGTGGCCCAGTCTGTGTATATGCGTTTTGTGTGTGTATATATGTGTATATGTGTGTATTTATGTGGTTATGCGCATGCATTGTAATGTTTGGGGTTTTTTTTTTGGCTTTTTAAGTCTCTTCCGCTGTGTTTTTCAGTGTTTTTCTGAGTGACTGTGGCCAAACCTTCCCTCCCTCTTTCTTTCCTTTCTTTCTCTCCTTCCTTCCATCTTTTTCTTTTCCTTCTTTCCCTTTTTCTTTCTTCCTTCTCTACCTGTTTTTTTCCTCCCTTCCTTTGCTCTTTGGTTCCATCCTTCCTTCTCTCTTTCCTTCCTTCCTTCCCTCCCTCCCTCCCTCTTTCTTTTGTTCCTTTTCTCCTTCCTTTCCTCTCTCTTTCCTTCCTCTTTTCACTTTATTTCCCTCTCTCCTTCCTCCTTCTTTCCCCTTTTCTATCCCTTCTTCTCTCCTTCCTTCCCCCTTTGTGTGTATATGTGTGTTTTTGTGTATATATGCATATATGTGTGTGTATATATTTGTGTATGTGTGTTTGTGTATATATGTGGTTTTGCACATGCATTATAATGGGTTTTTTTGTTTGTTTTGGGCTTTTAAGTCTCTTCTGCTGTGTTTTTCAATGTTTTTTTTATGAGCGATGGACACTCGTTGGTCTGATTGGTGTATTCTGTCCAAATTTGGTGTCAATTCGTTCAGTGGTTTTTAAGTTCTGTTAATCCCACAAACTAACATTACATATTTATTTATATAGATTTCAAAATGTTTGTTTGAAAAGACTCTCAGAATATTTGCTGTGTGAACTGTTTGTTATAATTCCAAAGTGGGCAACAGAGATTGGATTATTTCCTATTGCATTATGTTGTATTATAGATGACTTTTATGAGCTGCTAAACTTGATGACTGAAAGGTCACAGGTTCGAATCCGGGGAGCAGCGTGAGCTCCCGCTGCCACCCCCAGCTTCTGCCAACCTAGCAGTTCGAAAACATGCAAATGTGAGTAGATAGATACCACTCTGGCGGGAAGGTAACAGCGCTCCAGGCAGTCATGCTGGCCTCATAACCTTGGAGGAGTCTACGGACAACGCCAGCTCTTCCGCTTAGAAATGGAGATAAGCACCAACCCCCAGAGTTGGACACGACTGGACTTAATGTCAGGGGAAAATCTTTACCTTTACCTATCCAACTGCCCTGACCAAATGCAATTAAAAGACTACCATATATCCTCCAGAAAAGCCAAGTTCATCAGCCATATACTCAGTGTCCCCACTTGCAATCTTAAGTACACATGGATTTGCTTCTCAGCAAATATATATACCTTAATAATGAGTTCTTCCACTTCCAATGGCATTATTCACATGGAGCAATTCAATGTATTAGCAGGGAAAATGAAAATCTAGGCTTTAAATGAAGGATGTAAAATTTAGATACCATGCAACTAGAAATAAGCTACTTTAAAAATAATTTCATTCTGCCAATGTATCTTTTAAAGATCTGGATGGCGGTAAGAGATGGGAAACGACAGACTGTAAACACTGGCTGATCTTTATGAATTGGCAACCCAGGCAATGCCTCAATGCCAAGCCACCCTCCAAAGGCACCCCACTGGCTGGGTGACTTATATTGCTATTTGATGGACAACTTACTTAGTAAGATGTCTCCAGACTGGCAGCTGAGTTGGAAGCCAAACAAAATGCTTTTGCCACTCAGTTAAACAAACAGAAAGAAACAAAGGCCACAGAAGGGAGGGGATGGAGTTGTCCATGCCAAAGCAAATGCAAAAGGTCACAGGCTCAATCTTGTGGCATCTCCGCAAATAGTTTAAGGGCAGACAAACAAGAAATTAGGTGTTGAGCTTTAATTAATGTTTGAAAACCAGCTGACAGGTTTCAGAAACACCTTTGCCACAAGTTCCTAATTTATATAAATAAAAATGAAATGTTCATTTGTGGGATTAACATAAATCAAAAACCACTGGACGGATTGACACCAAATTTGGACACAAGACACCTATCAGGCCAATGAGTGACCATCACTCATATAACCCCCCTCCAAAAAAAACAGTGGAAGGAACTTAAAAACCCAAAAATGCTATATGATGATACAGAAAAAAGAGAAGGAAGATGGAGGGAAGGAAGGGGAGAAAGAAAGAAAGAAAGAAAGAAAGAAAGAAAGAAAGAAAGAAAGAAGCATGGAAAGGAAAGAGGAAGGAAGGAAAGGAAAAAGGAAAAAGGAGAGAAAGAAAGGGAAAAGAAAAGGAGGGAGGAAGGAAAGGGTAGAGAAGGAAGAAAGGAGGAAGGGAGGAAAAAAAGAAAGAAAGAAAGAAAGAAAGAAAGAAAGAGAAAGAAAGAGAGAGGAGAGAAAGAAAGAGGGAGGAAAGGAAGGGAGGAAAGAAAAGAAGGAAGGAGGAGAAAAAGGGAAGGTAAGTTAAAGCATTTTTCAAACTTAAAACAAGTGAGATACCTGCAGCGGTGAAAAGTAACCATTGGCAGGGATGTTGCTGAAAGATGTAACTACACTGAACTATAGAATGAAAGAACAAAGGGAATTACAGGCAAGCTGTCATCGACATTAAAAGGAAAAGAGAAAAGAGGAAGGAAAGAAAGAAAGAAAGAGAGAGAGAGAGAGAGAGAGAGAGAGAGAAGGGTGGAAGCAAAAAATGAAGGAAGGAAAGAGGTAGAGAAGGAAGAAAGGAGAGAAAAAGGGAGGAAAGTCAAGAAAGAAAGAGAGAAGGAAGGGTGGAAGCAAAAAACGAAGGAAGGAAAGAGGTAGAGAAGAAAGAACGGAAAGAAAAAGGAAGGAAAAGAAAAAGGGAGGGAGGAAGGAAAGAGGTAGAGAAGGAAGGAAGGAGAGAAGAAAAGGGAAGGAAGGAAAGAGGGAGTGAAGGAAGGGGGGAAGAAGGAGATAAAGAGGGAGGGAAGGTTGGCCACAGCAACGCGTGGTGGGTACAGCTAGTTATATATGAAAACCAAGACCAACAATACAATATGAGACTATGATGCCTAGTTGTTATTGCTGTACGCTTCCAAGTAATTTCTGGCTTCCAAGTAACTTCTGGTGATCGACTCATGGGGTTTTCTTGGCATAATTTATTCAGAGAGGGTTTGCCACTGCTTTTCTCGTAAGCATCAACACCCAAGATGTCTGAAAACTTGTAAAAGCATTCAAGGCTATCCAGATATTGGTTTATTCGGACACCCTGGAGTGCAGATCACACAGTACTAGGTAGGGACAGATTGTCTGACTTGCTGAAAATAATTATGTGTTTCTTAGGAAAGCGCAACTGTCAGCAGTCTCTGAAGAACTACCATGGTTTCCCTGTAAAGCGAAGGCAATTTACATTTGTAGTCAGACAGGTTCCCTGACTCCCAGGTTGGGAAAGTGGGACTGGAATATGAATGCCACCGCTCTTTTTCCTTGAGATCTCCCTTAACCTACTTTTCATTTTTATCTTGTCCCCTTCCAGCTACCAACAGTAATACACAAAACTACTTTTTGATTAAGTCATAAAGCCCTAATAATAAAACAAAAGATGTCACAACAAATTCCTTATCCAGTCAGCCAAAAAGACTTGAAAGTGTTACATTATATTCCCTCTGCAATATATTCGATAAAATTGTGTTTTTTGCCTATTTCCTTAACTATTGTTAGTCTCCCATCCCCATGGATGTCAGAGCTATTTATAATGCCTTATTATATCATATCATCACATATCATTCCTTCAAAAATTTTCCAAATAGAAGTGACAGCTGCAACTAAATAACTGATGAAGCATTTGGAAGTTGCTGTTGATCTCCCCGGAATGAGTTGGATCTTCTTTGTGAAGGTCTTTGCTTTCTGCAAGGATCTCTCAAGCCTAAAGAGAATAATCGACTCGGGCTATATACAGGCAGCCCTGGGTTACAAACATCCAACTTACAAATGGCTCATAGTTACAAATGAGGGTGAGACTGAAGGGGGCAATGGGTGAAATTTGCAATAGCTAACCTTTAGCAATGAAACAAAAGAGAAAGGTACCCCTCCCTATTATTATTATTATTATTATTATTATTATTCTGCTGCCCTGGAGACTAGGACATGGGAACAATGGCTTCAAACTACAAGAAAGGAGATTCCATCTGAACATGAGGAAGAACTTCCTGACTGTGAGAGCTGTTCAACAGTGGAACTCTCTGCCCTCGGAGTGTGGTGGAGGCTCCTTCTTTGGAAGCTTTTAAACAGAGGCTGGATGGCCATCTGTCAGGGGTGCTTTGAATGCAGTTTTCCTGCTTCTTGGCAGGGATTGGACTGGATGGCCCATGAGGTCTCTTCCAGCTCTTATGATTCTATGATCCTATGGGACTAGACAGGTCTACAAGATACATGTCATCAAACCTATGCAGAAAGAGACCCTGAAGGAAGCACTGAAGATCGTCCGGGGAGGCCCTGCTCTCGGTCCCGCCAGCATCACAAGTGCGGCTGGCGGGGACGAGAGACAGGGCCTTCTCGGTGGTGGCCCCTCGGCTATGGAATGCCCTACCAACGGAGATCAGACAGGCCCCATCGCTACTGGCGTTTAGAAGGCGGGTGAAGACGTGGCTCTTCGAACAGGCGTTCGGATAAGCATGCAATTAACATCTGACTCAGAAAGACGGCATACTGAACAAGGAATGGTAAAATGACTATGAGATTTGGATCTGATTTTATTCGAGGCGTGATGACGTTATGTGTATTGTTTGTGGATGTCTGTCACATGCATTGTTTAATGTTGCACTTTTTTACTGTAAACCGCTTAGAGTCGCCTTGTATGGCTGATATAGGCGGTATACAAAAGGAGTAAATAAATAATAAATAATAATAATAATAATAATAATAATAATAATAATAATAATAAACTTTATCTCCCCAATGGGGACTCGGGGCAGCTTACATGAGGCCAAGCCCAACAGCATATTACAATAAAATAAAATCAAAACACAATAACAACACAGTAAAATACATACAATATATGAGTACAAAAAATACACGATAAAGCAAAATCATACACAATAAAATAACAATGAGCAGGCCGCATGTGCAAGATAAAAAACTAAAATACTAAAAAGACTAAAATCAGGATGAGGCTGATTGTTTGTGAAGGAGAAACTCATAAGGGAACGGGGTCATAAAAATAGACCTTCATACAGTTGGGGAAATATACTCTGGGTTTTAAGAAAGAAAGGGTTCTCCAAAGCAGGATGAGTCTCAAACAGCCCTCCAGATGTTGTGGGACCACAACGTCTTACATTTATCGTTACTGGGAGTTACTGTTTAACAACATCTGGAGAGCCACATGACTCCCAGGGCTGCTCTTAAAATTTAGGTGGGGAACCTGTGTCCTTCCAGATGTTGTTGACTTCAACCATTGGAGGTATACAAATAGGAACTGTAAGGCTGAACCTACTGTGGGTGTTACAGTTCATTAAATCATATAGCACCATCACTCCACATGAGTATACATGTGCCGTTTGCCTTCATGTCATTGCCAACATATGGTTTTTTGCCTCAGAGGCTTGCTTCAGTAACTCCCATGGCCAAGTGGGGATTCGAACCCTGATCTCCAAAGTGCACCCACACTGTCAAATGAATCCAGTTTGGCCCTACTAACTGCCACGGCTCAGTGCTATGCAACTGTAAACAGTTAGTGAAGCACAAACACTCTATTGCACTGAAGGCTAGGTACCTTGTAAAACTACAGTGCCGAGAGTTCTGTAACATTGAGCCACGAAACTTAAAAGTGGTGCGAAAGTGCATTCATTCTACAATGTAGATCCACCCCTTGCCTTGCACTCAAACAACTACACCACAGTGAGGCTGGATCTACAGGGCACTGGATCTACAATTCTGACCCTCACCCTACCTGACACTTTACAAGTAAAGGAAAAACGACAACGTTCCTGGCCGTCAGGCTGAGCATCTTATCAACATATGGCAGGACCAAAGTTTCTCCAAGAAAGAAAGAATGAAAAGGGAGGGAAGGCAAGGGAAAGCAGGAAGGAGAAGAGGGAAGGGGAAAAGGAGGAAGGAAGGAAGGAGAAGGGAAAGAGGAAGAAAGAAGAGAAGGGGGAGGAAGGAAGGAAGAGGAAGAGGGGGAAGAAGGAAAAGGGAAGGGAGAGGAAGAAAGGAAGGAAGGAAGGAAGGAAGGAGGGAAGAAGGAAGGAAGGGAAGGAAGGAGAGAAAGGGGAGAGGAAGAAAGAAGAGGGAAGAAGGAAGGAAAGAAAGGAGGGGGAAGGGGAAAGGAAGGAAGGAAGGAAAGAGGAAAGGAAGGAAAGGGAGAAGGAGGAGAGGAAGGAAAGAGAGAAGGAAAGAGGAGAGAAGAATGGAGGAAAAGGAAGGAAGGGGAAGAAAAAGAGGAGAAAGGAAGGGGGGAGGGAAGGAGAGAGAGAGGAAGGAGAAAGAAGAGGAAAGAGGAGAGAAAGAAAGGAGGAGGAAGGAGAAAGGAAAGAGAAGGAAAGGAGGAAAATGAAGGAAGGAAGGAGGGAAGAAGAAGAAGAGAAAATAAGGGGAGGGGAAGGAAGAGAAGGGAATGAAGAGAGAAGGAGGAAGGGAGGGAGGGAGGAAGGAAGGGAGGAGAAAGGAATGAGAGAGAAGGAGGAGGAAGGGGAGAAGAGGAGAGAAGAAGGGAGGAAGAGAAGGAATAGGAAGGAGAAGAAGGAAGGAAGGAGGGGAAAGGAAAGAAGGAGAAGGAGGAAGAAGGAGGAGGAAGGAAAGAGGAAGAAGGAAGGAAGGAGAGAAGGAAGGACGGAGAAGGGAAGGAAGAAGAGAGGGAAGGAGAATGAAGGAAAGAAGGGAAGAGGAGAAGAGGAAGGGAGGAGGAGAAAGAGGAGAGAAGAAGGAAGGAAGGAAGGAAGGAAGGAAGGAAGGAGGAAGAAGGAAGGAAGGAAGGAAAGGGAATGGAGAGGAAGAAGGAGGAAGGAAAGGAAGAAGGAAGGAAGAGAAGGGAATGAGGAGAGAAGAAGGAGGAAGGGAAAGGAAGGAAGGAAGGGAGAAGGAGGAGGGGAGGAAGGAAGGAAGGAGAAGGGAAAGAGAGGAAGGAGGAAGGGAGAAAGGAAGGAAGGAAGAAGGAGAAGGGAAAAAGGGAAGGAAGGAAAGGAGAAGGAAGGAGGAGAGAGAAGGAGAGGAAAGAAGGAGAAGAAGGAGAGAAGGAGGAAGGAGGAGGAGGGAGGGAAGGAAGGAAGGAAGGAAGGAAGGAAGGAAGGAGAAGGGAATGAGGAGAGAAGAAGGAGAAGGGAGGGAGGAAGGAAGGAAGGAAGGAAGGAGAAGGGAAGGAGGGAAGGAGGAGGAAGAAGGAAGGAAGGAAGGAGAAGGGAATGAGGGGAAGAGGAAGGAAGAAAGGAGAAAGGAATGAGGAGAGAAGGAGGAAGGAAGAGGAGAGAAGGAGGAAGGAAGAAAAGAAAGAAGAGAAGGAATGAGGAGAGAAGAAGGAGGAAGGAGGAAGGAAGGAAGGAAGGAAGGAAGGAAGGAAGGAGAAGGGAATGAGAAAAAGGAGGAAGGAAGGAAGGAAGGAGAAGGAGGAAGAAAGGGAAGGAGGAAGGAGGAGGAAGAAGGAAGAAGGAAGGAGAGTGCTTGCTGAAATTTGAATCCATTGTTCCATGTCCTAGAGTCCAGAGCAATAGAAAAGAAGAAGAAGAAGAAGAAGAAGAAGAAAAAGAAGAAGAAGAAGAAGAAGAAGAAGGGGAAAAACCCACATGCTCTTATCATGTGGCAGCCAGATGCAATGGAAGATCAGCTGCGACATAGGAAGGAGGAAGGAAGGAAGGAAGGAAGGAAGGAAGGAAGGAAGGAAGGAAGGAAGGAGAAGGGAATGAGAAAAAGGAGGAAGGAAGGAAGGAAGGAGAAGGTAAAGAGGAGAGGAGGAGGAAGTAGGGAAGAGGAGGGAGTGAGGGAAGGGAAGGGCGGGCCTCACCGCTCTGCCTGCCGCCCACCAGCTCCGGGGTGCCCAGCATGAGCTCTCCTCCCGGGGGCAGCGACACCAGGAAGCGTCCGCGCGGGGTGCGGAGCGGGCAGCGCAGGAAGGCCTCCCCCATGGCGAGCCCTCGGAGCCCGGCTCCCCTTCGGCACGAGACGCTGCCTTGCTTCTCGACCTGCGGCAGGTGGGCTCGGGCGCCTCCTCGAGGGGGCGGGGCGCAGGGAAGGGCACGCCCCTCCAGAAGCCCCGCCTCCTGTGAGACCCCCTCCCTCCTTCCCTCCCTCGGAGGAGAAGCCCCGCCCCGCTCCAGAAGTGGGACAGAAGTAGTTCCACCCAAAGTTCACAGGTTGCAGTGTCTGCCTTCTCAGGCCAGCAGCAGTGCAGGCCTTGCAGGCTTCTGACATTCAATGTACCCCCCCCCCCTCAGTAAAGACACTCCCCCAGTTACACACATGCAACTTCTCTCCTCTTTCCCTTCTCCTTCCTCCCTCATTCCCCCCTTCTTCCTTCCTTCCTTCCTTCCTTCCTTCCTTCCTTCCTTCCTTCCTTCCTTCCTTCCTTCCTTCCTTCCTTCCTCCCTCCCTCCCTCCCTCCCTCCCTCCCTCGTTCCCTTCTCCTTCTTGACTAATGTAAATTGAGATAATTTCCTATAGAGTCAATTCAGTTTCTAGTCAGTAAATGTTGACAGATGTCAACAGATGTCAACATTTCTCTTATCACTGTCGCAGTTCTTATCATAGTTTACTAGACATGTCAAGGGCGGGCACTTTTTACCATATGTGGTGGTCATGTAAATAAGCTGGGCACAAATACATAGGATTTTAGAAGAAATTGTTAAAGTTAAATTTGAAACAAGACCTGATTTCTATCTGCTTGGGATGTTAGATGAACAACTCAGTGGAAAACATGGAAGGTTATTTCTATAAGTGACAACAGCAGCAAGAATGGCGTACGCTCAGAGGCGGCCCTAGGTAATTTTCAATGGTAAGCAAACAGTATTTTGATGCCACCCGCCCCCCCAACCAATCACTGATATATATTTTCTGTTCGTCGTGGGAGTTCTGTGTGCCATATTTGGTTCAATTCCATCATTGGTGGAGTTCAGAATGATCTTTGATTGTAGGTGAACTATACATCCCAGTAACTACAACTCGCATATGTCAAGGTCTATTTCCCCCCAAGAGTGCCTCAAGAGCGCCCCTGGGAAAAATCAACTATACTGCAAATGCTTACTTTGCGTAATGGGTTGAGCCGCCCCTGTGTACACTCAAACATGGAAAGTCTCAATTCTGTCACATAGACTTATGGAAATCAGCGAACTTGCAGAAACTGATAAACTTACTGTGTTGATTAAGGAGAAATATCGAACTAACTTTAAGAAAGACTGGGACTCATTTATTGTGTTCCCCCAGCAAAGATGAGGCCAAATCTCCATTACTTTTTTTCTTTTTGGACAAGAAGTGTGTTATTATGTGAGAAATGATGTACCAATGGTTTTTTTTTCACCAAATGGGTGAAAAAACAGATAAATATAACTACCAGATAAATAGATGCTTTTGAACTGTGGTGTTGAAGGAAAATTCTGAGAGTGCCTTGGACCACGTCCATACTTCAGGAAATAAAGCCTGACTTTGAGGGAAGAATAGTAGAGGCAAAGATGATGTACTTTGGCCACATCATGAGAAGAAAGGAAAGCTTAGAGAAGACAATGATGCTGGGAAAAATGGAAGGAAAAAGGAAGAGGGGCCGACCAAGGGCAAGATAGATGGCATCCTTGAAGTGACTGGATTGATCTTGAAGGAGCTGGGGGTGGTGACGGCCAACAGGGAGCTCTGGCGTGGGCTGGTCCATGAGGTCATGAGTCAGAAGTGACTGAATGAATAAACAACAACAAACCAGATAGAGAAAGATTACATAATGTAGATTGCTTGTAGTTTGTAGTTATTCTTTGATGTTTTGGATGTGTTAGTATTATTCTACGGAGCCCCTGGTGGCGCAGTGGGTTAAACCGCTGAACTGCTTGTTGACCGAAAGGTCACAGGTTTGAATCGAGGGAGTGGCGTGAGCTTCTGCTGTCAGCCCGGTTTCTGCTAACCTAGCAGTTCGAAAACATGCAAATATGAATAGATCAATAGGTACCACTCCGGCGGGAAGGTAACGGTGTTCCATAGTCATGCCAGCCACATGACCTTGGAGGTGTCTATGGATAATGCCGGCTCTTCTGCTTGAAAATGGAGATGAGCACCAACCCCCAGAGTCAAACACAACTAGAAAATGTCAAAGGGAAACCTTTACCTTTTATTCAGTCCTAAAACCTACATTAGTGTTTACAGCTCTATGTCTCTAACTATATGTCATTGTACATTTACTTGAGTCGGACACAACTGGACTTAATGTCAGGGGAAAACCTTTACCTTACTAATATTATTCTAGAAATACTATAGAACTATACTATAGAACTCCAGTATGCTGATGACAATGTCAGCAGACTGAAAGCCAAAACGAAGGTTATAACAACATCTGTTATAGAACTCAAATATGCTGATGACAATGTCGTCTGTGCATATTCAGAAGAAGACCTACAAGCCACTCTAAATACCTTCGCAGAAGCTTACGAGAAGCTCGGCCTGTCATTAAACATTTAGAAAACCAAAGTGCTCTTCCAGCAGTCACCAGCCAATCCCTCTCCAATGCCAGAAATACAACTTGATGGTGTACCATTAGAAAATGTTGACCATTTCCGCTACCTTGGCAGCCACCTCTCCACAAAAGTCAACATTTTGTGACACTGAAATACAACACCGCCTGAGCTTTGCGAGTGCAGCATTTTTCTGAATGAAGCAGAGAGTGTTTGAGGACCGGGACATCCGTAGGGATACCAAGGTGCTTGTTTATAAAGCTATTGCCCTCCCAACCCTGCTATATGCCTGCGAGACGTGGACTGTCTACAGATGTCACATGCAACTCCTGGAACGATTCCATCAGTGCTGCCTCCGAAAAATCTTGCAAATCTCTTTGGAAGATGTGCAGACAAATGTCAGCGTGCTGGAAGAAGCAAAGACCACCAGCATTGAAGTGATGGTCATAGAATCATAAAATCAAAGAGTTGGAAGAGACCTCATGGGCCATCCAGTCCAACCCCCTGCCAAGAAGCAGGAATATTGCATTCAGATCACCTCTGACAGATGGCCATCCAGTCTCAGCTTAAAAGCTTCCAAAGAAGGAGCCTCCACCACACTTCGGGGCAGAGAGTTCCACTGCTGAATGGCTCTCACAGTCAGGAAGTTCTTCCTCATGTCCTTTATTGTAGTTTGAAGCCATTGTTTCGCGTCCTAGTCTCCAGGGAAGCAGAAAACAAGCTTGCTCTCTCCTCCCTGTGGCTTCATCTCACATATTTATACATGGCTATCATATCTCCTCTCAGCCTTCTCTTCTTCAGGCTAAACATGCCCAGCTCCTTAAGCCGCTCCTCATAGGGCTTGTTCTCCAGACCCTTGATCATTTTAGTCGCCCTCCTCTGGACACATTCCAGCTTGTCAATATCTCTCTTGAAATGTGGTGCCCAGGATCCTCCGCCATCAACTCTGCTGGACCGGCCACATTGTTTGGATGCCCGACCACCGTCTCCCAAAGCAGTTGCTCTACTCCGAACTCAAGAACGGAAAACGGAATGTTGGTGGGCAGGAAAAGAGATTTAAAGATGGGCTCAAAGCCAACCTTAAAAATTCTAGCATAGACACTGAGAACTGGGAAGCTCTGGCCCTTGAGCCCTCCAGCTGGAAGTCAGCTGTGACAAGCAGTGCTGTGGAGTTTGAAGAATGGAGGGCGAAAGAGAGAAACCTGCCAAGAGGAAGGGGCGTCAAGCCAACCCTGACCGGGATCGCCTCCCATCTGGAAACTGATGTCCTCACTACAGGAGAAGATACAGATCAAGAATTGGGCTCCACAGTCACCTACGGACCCACCGCCAGAACACCAACCTTGGAGGACCATCATCATGGAGGACTATGAGGGATCGCCTAAGAAAAAAGCATTCTAGAAAAAAATATTTAAAATATTTTGTTGTTTTGTTTTTTGTATATAGGTCTTAATAAAAATTAATTAAAAAAAGGAATTGTGGAAGTTAAAGACCAAGGGCCCTTCCAGACAGCATATCATGGCAGAAAATCCCACAATATCTGCTTTGAACTGGGTTATTTGAGTCCACACTGCCATATATCCCAGTTCAACTCAGATAATGTGGGGTTTTCTTCAGCTGTGTGGAAGGGGCCTCTGAGTATCCTGGAGGACCAAAGTTCAGGGAACCATTGCAGTGAGAGAGATGTTGCTATAGCTCTCGGTTTGATTGAAACACCTTCCACTGAGGCGCCGCTCTCCGTTGATTGGTGCTAGAGCCGGCCAATGAAGCCGCGCGCGCGCCCCACCTCTGTTTCGTTCTCCAATAGAAATTCACGGACTGGTGAGTCAGCCAATAAGTAACAAGAAAGCGGAAAACACCGACCAATCGAGACGAAGGTCGGCTCGGGCGGGTCAGGGGCAGTATTTCCTGGTTGAGGAGTGAATGGGGCTGCCGTTGGTTGAGGAATAAGCATCTTTGGGGTGAGCCAAACAAGGGAAGGAGTGGGCAGAAGAAGGCTCAATGAGGGGAAAGAGGGCAGGCCCAGCTGGTGGGAGCAGGGCTCTTCCTGGGGCCTGGCTGCTAGGCTTCTTCTGCTGGCTATAGCTCTCCCCTCTCCCTCAGGAGCCATCCCCTTCGCCCCCTTCCTCGCCATGGAAACGCTCATCCCTGTCATCAACAAGCTGCAGGAGATCTTCAACACCGTGGGAGCAGAGGTCATCCAACTCCCCCAGATTGTCGTCGTTGGCTCTCAGGTGAGATTTGCATTGCCTTCAGCCCAGAGATAGGCAACTAGTGGCCCTCCAGGGGCTGCTGGGTTGCCACTTCCACCAGGCCTGGTTCGTAGCAGCCAAGGAACAAGGTCTGGGGGACTACAAGTGGGCCCTCCTTCCTCTAGAAAAGCCCTCCTTAGAATAACAGAGTTGGAAGAGAACACTTGGACCATCTTGTCCAATTCCCTGCCATGCAGGACTGGCACAATCAAAGTATATGTTAAGAGAATATATCCCAGATACATAAACCCAAGCTACCTATCCGACCGCCTCTCTGCCTATGAACCCACCAGGACTTTGAGATCTTCCGGGGAGACCCTGCTCTCGATCCCACCTGCTTCTCAAGCTCGGCTGGCGGGGATGAGAGATAGGGCCTTCTCGGTGGTGGCTCCTTGGCTGTGGAACGCCCTTCCTACGGACATTAGACTAGCACCATCTCTAATGGTATTCCGCAAAAAGGTGAAGACCTGGCTCTTTGAGCAGGCGTTCGAATAATTAGTGCAATGATTGGTTAAGGAACACTGGAATGGAACAGTGGATGACGAATCTGGAACATGTTTTTGATGATGAGACGACAGTGAATGGGTATTGTAGTAACTGTTTATTAATTTTGTAATGTGTTAGGTTGTTAACTGTTTCTATACTGTAGCACTGAATTTTTGCTGTTCGTATTTGTTGTGAACCGCTGTGAGTCACCTTCGGGCTGAGAACAGCGGTATATAAGTAAGGTAAATAAATAAATAAATAAACCCACTTTCCTAGTTCCAACAGACCTCACTATCTCTGAGGATGCTTGCCATAGATGCAGGTGAAACGTCAGGAGAGAATGCCTCTAGAACATGGCCATATAGCCCAAAAAAACCTACAACAACCCAGTGATTCTGGCCATGAAAGCCTTCAACAGTATATGTTAAGACTTACTTACTTTACTTAAGCGACCCCTCATTGTCCGAGTAGGATAGTCTTCCAAAATCGGTGCACTGGCGTTGGGTCCGTAGGTGACTGTGGAGCTCTATTCTTGATCTGCATCTTCTCCTGCAGTGAGGGCATCGGTTTCCAGGTGGAAGGTGGTCTCGGTTGGCTTGATGCACCTTTCTCTTGGCACGTTCCTCTCTTTCACCCTCCATTCGTGTCTCTTCAAATTCTGCAGCACTGCTGGTCACAGCTGGCCTCCAGTTGGAGCACTCAAGGGCCAGGGCTTCCCAGTTCTCAGTGTCTATGCCAGAGTTTTTAAGGTTGGCTTTGAGCCCGTCTTTAAATTTATTTTCCTGCCCACCAACATTCTATTTTCCATTCTTGAGTTCGGAGTAGAGCAACTGCTTTGGGATACAGTGGTCGAGCATCCGGACAACGTGGCTGGTTCAGCGGAGTTGATAGTGCAGGACCATTGCTTCAGTGCTGGTGGTCTTTGCTTCTTCCAGCACGCTGACATTTGTCCGCCTGTCTTCCCAAGAGATTTGCAGGGTTTTTCGGAGGTAGCGCTGATGGAATCGTTCCAAGAGTTGCATGTGACGTCTGTAGACAGTCCACGTCTCACAGGCGTAAAGTAGGGTGGGGAGGACAATAGCTTTATAATCAAGCACCTTTGTATCTCTGCGGATGTCTGCTTCATTTGGAAAAATGCTGCACTCTCAGAGCTCAGGCAGTGTTGTATTTCAGTCTCAATGTTGACTTTTGTGGAGAGTTGGCTTCCAAGGTAGTGGAAATGATCAATATTTTCTAATGTTACACTATTAAGCTGTATCTCTGGCATTGGAGAGGGATTAGCTGGTGACTGCTGGAAGAGTACTTTAGTTTTTTCGATGTTTAATGACAAGGCAAGCTTCTTGTATCTTTCTGCGAAGGTGTTTAGAGTGGCTTGTAGATCTTCTTCTGAATTCGTTCAGACGATGTTGTCATCAGCATACTGGAGTTCTATAACAGATGTTGTTGTAACCTTCATTTTGGCTTTCAGTGTGTTGAGGTTAAATACTGAGGTTAAGGCAGAGACTGCCTTAACCCAGGTGTTTTGGACTTCAGATCCCAGAATCCCTGGCCATTTGACATGCTGGCAAGGACTTCTGAGAGTCGGAGTCACACACACCTGGAGGGTTGCAGGTTGAAAACGCCTGCCTAAGGATTCACTCATAGCATCCTATCTCTAACAGTGGGCAGGCATACATTTATAAGAGGTCATCAAGGCAGCCGCCATCCCTGCTGTTTATCATCTTGTGCCCAAAGACATGCTGCCTGACATCCTGGAGGTTGGAACTAAACAATCGTCTTCTCATAGCAGTGAGCCCTATATATTGGTCAAGCATTTCATGATTTTTTAAAATCCATCCAGGACTTATAACCAATTAATTTCAATGGCTGACTCCAGCGAGTCATAGAACTGTAGGGTTGGAAGAGACCACATGGGCCATTTAGTCCCAAATTACAGGAAACGACTGTCTGAACATTAGGAAATACTTCCTGACTGGAAGAGCTGTTCAACAGTGGAACCCTCTGCTTCGGAGTGTGATGGAAGCTCCTTCCTTGGAAGCTTTTACACAGTGGCTGGATGGCCATCTGTCAGGGATTATTTGGTTATGCTTTTCCTATATGGCAGGGGGTTGAACTAGATGACTCATGTAGTCTCTTCCAGCTCTTTGATTCTACAAATGGGGTTGGACTGAATGGCCCTTGAGATCTCTTCCAACTCTATGGTTCTATTAAGTCAGCCATTGAAATAAATTGGTTATAAATGCCAGATGGATAAAAAAGCATCATAGGGCTTACTGCTATGCAAAGATGATAGCTTAGTTCAGGGGTCATCAAACTTTTTAAACAGAGGGCCAGGTCACAGTCCCTCAAACTGTTGGAGAGCCAGATTATAATTTGAAAAAAAAACATGAATGAATTTTTATGCACACTACACATATCTTATTTGTAGTGCAAAAAACACTTTAAAACAATACAATAATTAAAATGAAGAACAATTTTAACAAATATAAACTTATTAGTAGTTCAGTGGGAAGTGTGGGCCTGCTTTTGGCTGATAATAGGATTGTTGTTGTTGTGGTGTGCTTTCAAGTTGTTTCAGACTTAGGTTGACCCTGAGTGAGGACTGGGTAAATGACCTTTGAGGGCCGCATTTGGCCCTCGGGCCTTAGTTTGAGGACCCCTGGCTTAGTTCCACCTATCATGTGTTTGTGCGGGACTGTGTCCCTCTTCTCTCGAGCTGGTCATTGACTGTAATAAAGTGAACTTGAACTAGTTCAACCTCCAGGATATAAAGCAGGGGTAGGGAACCTTTGGCCCTCCAGCTGTGGTGGACTTCAACTCCCACAATTCCTTGAAGCTCGGCATTGGGCCAAGGTAAGCCTTTGGGGCGAATGCCGAGCCTCAAGGAATTGTGGGAGTTGAAGTCCACCACAGCTGGAGGGCCAAAGGTTCCCTACCCCTGATATAAAGCAACATATCTTTGGGACAAGACGATAAACAGCAGGGATGGCTGTGGCCTTGATGACCTCTTATAGACTTGTTAGAAGGGTGCATCTGCTCACTATTAGGATGCTATGAGGGAATCCTTAGCTAGACCTATTTAACCTACACGCCCACGCCCCCCAAGGTGTTTGGGACTCTGACTCCCAGAAGCCCTCGCCAGATTGTCTAATGGTCAGGAATTCTGAGAGCGGAAGTCCAAAACACTTGAAAGGCCATAGGTTGTGTAGTCTATTCCTCAACCTAAACACAAGGAGGGGTTTTCTTCATCAGCCTTCCCTGGCCAGACCCTAGGAGTATTGGACTATAGTTCTTATAATCTCCCATCTGCCTAACCGACATTGAGTTGATTTTGGTGGGCTTGCTTATAGTAGAAATACTGCCTGGATTCACCCCACTAACCCTTATCCTTACCCTGCCACTAACATTACCTCTCTCCACAGAGCAGTGGGAAGAGTTCGGTGCTGGAGAGCATTGTAGGCCGGGACTTCTTGCCACGGGGCTCTGGTGTTGTCACACGCCGTCCCCTCATCTTGCAGCTGGTGCATGTTCCCACATTGGAGGAGAGGAGGCGGGCAGCTACGGGAGAAAGCGGTAAGAGAAGATGGTTGGGCTTGTATTCGATGTTGCAGGATGGTGAGAAAATCATGTCGGTGCAATGATGCTTGGGAACTCATTCTGGAAATGACTGAGACTGTTTGGTTCAATATATGGAGTGTGGGAAATGCCTTTTCTAACAATATGCCGCATCATAACTCCCATTAGTTCCCGCCATAATGCTCAATATTCAGGGATGATGAAAGTTGTAGAGTCAAACAGAGGGTGCCAGGTTGGGGATTAGTGAGAGAGGCCTAAAGTTGGTCAGTTAGCTAACAGAGATAGCTAGTTGGAAGATTACACCTATTAGGAAATGATAGCTGGGGAGTGGAGAGACAGATCCCAAAAGAAAAGGACTGTCTGTATGGAGTTTGGGCTTACTTTCAGAGAAGAAATCCTGTCAGTAATCTCTGGAGGGAGAAAGGAGTGTTATTTGTAACTAAGTTGGAACTACTGAAAGAAGCCGCACACATATAAGACAATCTTTCAAACCAACTAAGCTTAATGCCTATTTTGTTCCAGTTCTCTTAATAAACATCATTGTTTTATTGTTCACAACATCTGCTTCATGTGTGCCTCTATGTAAGAAGTTTTAAAAGCAATCTACTGAAGAAGTCAAAGGTTTAATGGTGGCAGCGTATATTCTAAAGAAGAAATCCTTTCAGTGTTACCTCAGTGCACAGACCTGAGTGTGAATCCAGCACATTCTAGCTAAAGATATCTGTAGTAAGCCAAGAGCTTTACATTGCTTTTAAGTTTTGGTGAGTGCCAGAGTTCTTTCAAAAGGCTTTCCGTCCAAAAGAAAGTTCCAACTTCATTCCAGCTTTTTGATTTTGGGTTTTAATGACCAGTAGCCACATTCTGTAGCCAACACACTGGTGACCAGTAGCCACCAGTAGCCAACACACTGGTGTTCAGCTTTTGGGATTTATATACCCAATTAAAGCCTCCATCTATTATATTTGGTCTGCAGCAGTTGGGATTTGTTCACAAATAAATCCTTAACTATTATATCCTTTCACTGCATTGTAGAATAGAACCAGAAAGACATTTTTATCTGAAATCAAAGTGCTGTCCTTGTTCTCCTTACTCATCTTTTTCTAGGGTTATATACAAGGATGGCTTTTGTGCATTTTATATTGTTGGAGCTTTCTTGGAATTGTGAGATGATAGACTTTATAGGAGGTTTAATGCTATTGTCTACCATATTCGTAATGAGAGAGTGTACTCTACTGAAGTCAGAGAGGATTGGGTTCATGAAGTCTACAGTTAAAACTGAATGTGGGGCTAAATTTGGGTTTTGATGACACCCTCAGGATGTAAATATTGGACCTCAGCACTGATGCCTTCAGCAGCAACCAAAACAAGCTTACAAATAAGTATCAACAGAGCCCAGTCTATCACTAAGTCAGCATATCCAAACTACAGACCCAGCCTTTGGGATGTTTGCCAGACTCAGGTGACGCAGGTGGGCTAGTTTGTGGCAATTCTGGTGGTGTTTGAGGCACTGGTTCTTTTGTTTTTGGAGAATAAAGGACAGCAGGGTTTTTTTCTTTCAGTTTGCTTATGGGTCTGAGGAAACACTTTTGTGCTGCAGTACCATGTATGGTGGGTGCTAGTGGGTAATGATGATGTTTTTGGACATCTTGTGATTTGCCTTTTTTTTTTACTGCAGGTGTCCAGGCGGATGAGTGGGCCACCTTCCTTCACTGCAAACACAAGGTACAGACTGGGTGATGTCAAGGACCCCACTGGCATTCAGATCCATAGGTGGGAGAGGCAGCTGTTTCATGTGCCCAGAATGTAGCTACTTGAAGCTGATTGGGAACTCTCTTCTTGGGGGCAGTTACTTTTTTAATGTAATTTTGATGTTGTTGTTGTTTTGATTATGTTTTGATTTTATTGCTGTAGTATGTTGTCCGGGCTTGGCCCCATGTAAGCCGCTCCGAGTCCCCACTGGGAAGATGGTGGCGGGGTATAATAAAGTTTATTATTATATTATTATTACCTGAGTCTTGGGGCATCAAGGTCTCAGGGATGAGGCCAGTTCTTCCTCCCCCCCACCAGCCCATGTTTGGTCCACAAACAATCTGTGTTAAAATGGCAGAAAGCTTTTCCCTCCTGCAGCATGTAGCAAAATCAGAACATACTCCTTGGTTGAAAATGGTGCTGGAAAGATAGCTTGTCATGGCCTTTTTTGCTTTTGCTTGCTGTTTTGTTTTCTCATTCCTTTTAAAGCTTCTTTGAGAGAAAGCGTCGCTGCCCTACTGCTTCTGTGGCAGAGTAAAAGGTGTCTTTCCTGACCCTAAACCACTTTACTATTGGTTTTGCCTACCCAGTTTTCCCCTATCCTATCTTATTCATGAAGTCCAAGGACTCAAACAAAGAGGACTATAGGCATGGTCTGAGGATATGTCTAGTCTGCCTCTTTCCTGATAGGAAAATCCCTCCCAGTTAGCAAGGGAATTTTACACACACACATATCTTTTGTCCATTTTCATTAGATTTCCTTTCATTGTTAACTTTGTTGACTCTTCCTTAAAAAAAAGGATTTCAGGTTTACTTTAGTATGAAAGAATATCTCCTTTGTTCCTGATCAGAGACTGAGGGATGAGGGGGAAAAAAATAGTCCAACTTTTTTTAATTACTTACTTAGGTGATTCCTCGTGGTCTGAGGATGATGGTCCTCCAAGTGTAGTGTCCTGGCGGTGGGTCTGTAGGTGACTCTGGAGCACTATTCTTGATCTGCATCTTCTCCCACAGTGAGGGCATCGGTTTCCAGGTGGAAGGCGGTCCTGGTCGGGGTTGGCTTGAAGCGCCTTCCTCTTGGCACGTTTTTCTCTTTCGCCCTCCATTCTTCAAACTCCACAGCACTGCTTGTCACAGCTGACCTCCAGCTGGAGTGCTCAAGGGCCAGGGCTTCCCAGTTCTCAGTGTCTATGCCAGAGTTTTTAAGGTTGGCTTGAGCCTATCTTTAAATCTCTTTTCCTGCCCACCAAAATTCTATTTTCCATTCTTGAGTTCGGAGTAGAGCAACTGCTTTGGGAGATGGTGGTCGGGCATCCAGACAACGTGGCCGGTCTAGCGGAATTGATGGCGGAGGACCATTGCTTCAATGCTGGTGGTCTTTGCTTCTTCCAGCATGCTGACATTTGTCCGCTTGTCTTCCCAAGTGATTTGTAGGATTTTCGCTGATGGAATCGTTCCAGGAGTTGCATGTGAGGTCTTTAGACTGTCCACGTCTTGCAGGCATATAGCAGGGTTGGGAGGGCAATACCTTTATAAACAAGCACCTTGATATCCCTATGGATATGCTGGTCCTCAAACACTCGCTGCTTCATTCGGAAAAAGCTTCACTCGCAGAGCTCAGGCGGTGTTGTATTTCAGTGTCAGTGTTGACTTCTGTGGAGAGGTGGCTGCCAAGGTAGTGGAAATGGTAAACATTTTCTAATGTTACACAATTAAGCTGTATTTCTGGCATTGGAGAGGGGTTGGCTGGTGATTGTTTTGGTTTTCTCGATGTTTAATGATGGGCCGAGCTTCTCGTAAGCTTCTGCGAAGGTGTTTAGAGTGGCTTGTAGGTCTTCTTCTGAATGCGTACAGACAATGTTGTCATCAACATATTGGAGTTCTATAACAGATGCTGTTGTAACCTTGGTTTTGGCTTTCAGTCTGCTGAGGTTAAACAGCTTGCCATCTGTCCAATAGATGATTTCCACTCTGGTGGGAAGCGTCCCGCCAACAAGATGAAGTATCATAGTGATGAAGATAGAAAATAAAGTTGGGGCAATAACACATACCTGTTTGACACCTGATTCCACCGTAAATGGGTCACTTTGGGAGCCATTGCTGTCCAAGACGGTTGTCATCATGGAGGAGCCGCAGGATGTTCACGAATTTGTTTGGGCACCCGATTTTTTGGAGGATGGTCCAGAGAGCACTTCGACTCACTGTGTCGAATGCCTTTGCAAGGTCAATGAATGCCATGTACAGAGGTTGGTTTTGTTCCCTGCATTTTTCTTGGAGCTGTCGTGCAGTGAAGATCATATCCACTGTTCCTCTGGAGGGGCGGAAGCCATTGTGGGCATATTTATTTATTCATTTATTTATATATATACAGTATAGAATAGTCAATCCTTCAGGTGTTGGGAAATTTTAATTTGTTATGCCTTTTTGCTTCCCTTTTGTATATCAGTCCTTTTTACATAATGTGTTTAAAGGTTCTTGATTTGTGTGCCTCTTGGCATCTGTATGCGCTCTGAAAACAAATAATGAGCCTTTAGCAGACCCACCACGCAAGCCTTGAGATGTATTCTTTTGGTTGAGAGAGACCTTGCTTCTCAGGTTTTCAAATGTTGTACCCTAAACCCCATGCCATTCTTTGCCAGCGTAGTGAAATGGTGGGGCTCTGAGGAAGAATCTTGGCAAAGTACGATGTTAGTTATTTCTATAGCTTTGCTTCCATGCCCTTTTTTGACTGTTTTTATCTTAGCTGAGGAGCCCCCGGTGGCGCAGTGGGTTAACCGCCTGTGCCGGCAGGACTGAAGACCCACAGGTCGCAGGTTCAAATCCGGGGAGAGGCGGATGAGCTCCCTCTATCAGCTCCAGTTCTCCATGCAGAGACATGAGAGAAGCCTCCCACAAGGATTATAAAACATCAAAACATCCAGGCGTCCCCTGGGCAATGTCCTTGCAGACGGCCAGTTCTCTCACACCAGAAGCGACTTGCAGTTTCTCATGTTGCTCCTGACACGACAAAAAAAAAATAATCTTAGCTGACGAAGTTCTATCAATATGTATTGATGTTTTGAATGGGAGTCATTTCTGAGTCTTCTTGGGTAGGGTGGAAGTAAGGTTGCTTATTTACATTGTAAACCATTTTATTTTTTCTTTGCTGCATCTTTTCTTGCATCTTTGACCCCCTGGCTCTGTCCTGTTGCTCTTGGAAGGAGAAGGTTTTTGTTGTTTTTGTACAGAAAATGTGGAGGACCGGGTTTTTCTGTTAGCTCAGGTTGCTATGATACAATCTTGACATGTTGCTTTTCTCTTCATATGTTGGGAAACTATGTAATTTAGGAGTGGGGTTCATGTGCCCTCCAGGTAATATTGAACTACTGTTCTCAGCAGTCCTCAGAATTGCTATGCAGGCTAAGGTGGCTCGGGGTTGCAATCCAAAAACACCTGGAGGGCTATACACCTTCTGTAGATGAAGTACAGCCTCTGCTGCCCTATTGTCCTTCATTTCTCCTCTTCTGTTTCCTTGTTAGTCCTGTTGTGAGCAGGACTCTATTTGCCCCAACAAGAGGCAAGATTAATGTCAAGATAGTGGAAGAAGAGGGCAGAGGAAGCTGCATCTATATTGTCCTTGATCTTCTCACCTTGATAATCAGTGGGCTATTGTGTCTTGGGTTGGACTAGGACAGGGGTCCAATCCCAGTTGGGCATAGAGTGCCTGGCTTTCAGCAAGTTCCTTATCCTAAGAGATTTTACAAGGTTGTTGTAAGAATTAAAATGGGAGGAAGGCCCTGTATTCCTCCTTAGAGGAAACTGACAACATGTAGCCAGCTTTTCAGAGCTGATAGAACTGCTGTTGGGTGTTGAATCTGGCAGTCATAATTTAGGTCTTTCTTTTTCACCAGACATTTACTGACTTCCGTGAAATCCGACAGGAGATTGAGATTGAGACTGAACGGACAACCGGGACCAATAAGGTATTGGCATCGTGAACTCTCCACTCTGCCAGCTGTATGATATATTTGATATACTTGAAGATGTATATCAAATCAAATATAAAATATCAAAAGATATTTAGCCCCCTGCACACCTTCTATTTTTATCAGTTTATACCAGGGGTCCTCAAACTTTTTAAACAGAGGGCCAGGTCACAGTCCCTCAAACTGTTGGAGGGCTTGATTATAATTTTAAAAAAAAAAAACATGACTGAATTCCTATGCACACTGCAGATATCTTATTTGTAGTGTAACAACACTTAAAAAGAATATAATAATTAAAATGAAGAACAATTTTAACAAATATAAACTTGTTAGTATTTCACTGGAGAGTGTGGACCTTCTTTTGGCTGATGAGATAGGGTTGTTGTTTTTGTTGTTGCTGTGTGCTTTCAAGTCATTTCAGACTTAGGTTAGCTGTGAGTGAGGGCTGGGTAAATGACCTTGGAGGGCCATATTTGGTTCCTGAGCCTTAGTTTGAGGACCTCTGGTTTATACTAATGTATGCAATGCTTTTGATACGAAATAAAAACTTGAAGATGTAGGATAGGGACCTTCTCTAACTCTAGGGTTTGTTTTTGATGGCAGGGGATCAGCCCAGAGCCCCTCTACCTGAAGATCTACTCTCCCTATGTGCTGAACTTGACTCTTGTGGATCTGCCAGGAATCACCAAGGTAGGAATCCGAAGAAGACCGACCTACAGAGCCTGTTTTGGTAGACTTCTCAAAGTACAGCAGTCAGCCACTTTGCATGTATGCCAACATGCAAAGTGGCTATAGATCATTGAGGAGCATTTCAGAGGAAAGATTCTGGCTCTTCACCTTTTCTCTCATTCCCTTCTTTCAGTCTTCTATCTCCCTCTCTTCCCTACTAGACTGGCGAATAGCAAGTGAGGAGTGCAGGGAGAAAAAAAATGGTAGCTTGCAAGAAGTTTCTTTTTTACTATATTAATTTTGGAAGATAGGATTTCGGCAGAATAGGTCTATTTTCTGCATGAAAATAAACTCTGTGGTGCAATAGGTTAAACCTTTGCGTTGGCAGGACTGCTGACCGAAAGGTCGGTGGTTCGAATCTGGGGAGCGGGGTGAGCTCCTGTCTGTCAGCTCCAGCTTCCCATTTGGGGACATGAGAGAAGCCTCCCACAGGATTGTAAAACATTCGGGCATCCCCTGGGCAACGTCCTTGCAGACGGCCAATTCTCTCACACCAGAAGCGACTTGCAGTTTCTCAAGTCACTCCTGACATGAAAAAAAACCCAATCATGAGTTGGTTGTTCCTGGTGACAAAATAAGGGTAAAGAGAAGAGGGGGAAAATTGTATAATAATAATAATTATAAAGAAATAAAACATGCATAAGGAGATAAAAGGTGTAGTAGAGGTATATGTAGTATAAGTTGTAATGGAAATTTAAAAATAATGATAAGAAATATGTTTAAAGATTTTTTTATTTTACTTTAGATTGTATCTAATATGACATACTCATTTGTCTAAGATACTGTAAAAAGAAGGAAAAATGTATGCTTATACATTTTGTTTGATAAATTTATAAATAATTAAAAAAAAGGAAAGCCAAGAATCTGAAGGCACATAAAACTGTACAGCATGCAATAATGAGCAAAGTATTCCTGAGATGCATAAATAAAAATATACTTGCCTTAAAAAAAATAAGGAAAAAAAAAAGAAAAAATACCAAACCTCGATAATTGGGGCTGGTGGTATTGAACAAGCTGAGTGATTTAGGATGCAGTTCTTCTCATCTTTACCCACCACATGCTGTTTTATGTTTTGTACAAATAGACTCTGGCCTTTCTTAAAGGGAACTCTGATTGTAGCTCTTTGGAGCATGTCTTAGACAAGGAAGTTGAACTGTGCCTTTAAAGGCGTACCTGATAGTTTTGCATCAGCCAGAATCAGCTCCAGAATTTGGAGGATATCATATTTGGTCTCTTGTAATTTGAAGGAGGTGGCCATGAAAAGGTGGCCCATTGCCACCTTGTAAAGGAAACATAATACTATTTTTAAAGCGAGAACAATATTATTTTTAAAAGGGTGAATCATTTCCCAGAAAATGCACTTACAGTGGAAGTATACTGTTAAATTACCGTATATACTCAAGTATAAGCCGACCCAAATATAAGCCAAGTCACCTAATTTTACCACAAAAAAAAACTGGGAAAACACATTGACTCGAGTATAAGCTGAAGGTGGGAAATGCAGCAGTTACTGGTAAATTCTAAAATAAAAATAGATTCCAATACTATGACATTAATTGAGGCATCAGTAGGTTAAATTATTATTATTATTATTATTATTATTAACAACTTTATTTGTACCCCGCTAGCATCTCCCGAAGGACTCGATGCGGCTTACAAAGGCCAAGGCCTCAAACACAACATAACAATACAACCTAAAGCAAATTAAAAACAATTAAAGCAATATTAAACAGCGAAACAACAAGCAATCAACAATACACCAAAACACAATAAAACTGGGCCGGGCCAGAGTAAAGGGTACAGAATTAAAAGTTCTGATGTGACAGGTGATATGTAAGGATTAGGGTTTTTGAATATTTAAATGTTTTTTGAATATTTACATAAAACTATAATTTAAGATAACTGTCCAACTCTGATTAAATCATGATACCAACCTTTTCAGTGTCAATATGTTTGCGTATCCTTCCAATAATAATGAGAGTAAAATAATAAATGTAATAATAATAAAGTAATGGAAATGTAATAACAGTAATAATAGAGTAAAATAATAAATGTAATAATAACAATAATAAAGTAAAATAATAATAATAATAATAATAATAATAATAATAATAATAATAATAATAGAATTAAATAATAAATAATCTTGACTCGAGTATAAGCCGAACGGGACTTTTCAGCCTAAAAAAAGGGCTGAAAAACTAGGCTTATACTCGAGTATATACAGTACCTGAGGATATAGAAAATTACTAGAGAGCGTATATTTTGTCATTATGTGGGTAGGTGAAGGCACAAGCAGCAGTTCCATGGGTATGGGAAAGAGACATTCAGCAGTCAAATTTGAATAAAAATCTTAAGACTGGTTTGACCTTCTGGGGCTCTTCTTTAATCTATCATTAATATTCACCTTTGTGTTGTTTCCCAGGTGCCTGTTGGGGATCAGCCCGCTGATATTGAGGTTCAGGTCCGAGATATGATCCTGTCCTACATCTCCAACCCAAACTGCTTGATCCTGTCTGTGACCGCTGCCAACACTGACATGGCCACATCAGAGGCTCTAAAACTTGCACGAGATGTGGATCCTGATGGTAGGGTATCTGGGCGTGTTGTATTATGAAGGAAGCATTTGGTAGTCAGGGTAGTAAGTGTTTGGGCCTCATGGACCAAATCACAGAAAACTGGAGTCCAAATAGTCCCTGGGTTATGGACAAGATAGGTTCTGTAAGCTGAATTTCTATGTAAGTCGGAACAGGTACTTTTTAAAAGCGCAACTCCAGGCATTTTTTTTAGTTTTGGTTAGCATAGGGTTAACATCTCTGTGGTGTTTGTTTTGCTGTCTGTGCCCCTGTTCAGAATATTTCTTCTTATTTTCTCTCCTTGTGATTTTTGAATTTTGAAAAAATTGGGTTGTCATGGAAATAAGGATTTGTGATAATTATTATTATTAGTATGATTATTATGTTTATTTATATCCTGCTTTTTCTCTCTTCAAACAAGACTTAAATTGGCTTACAGTAAAACCAATATAATGTAATTTAAAACTGAAAATATGCTAACATTAAAATAGAATTTAATATTAACGGTATTAAAAATAAATATTTTAAATCCGTAAAACTGAATAAATACCTATTCATATCTAAAACTACAGCACCCCAACTGGTTCTTAGAAACCTCCTTCTTTAAAAGCCTGTCTTACTAAAAAGGTTTTAGCCTGCCGTTGAAAGGATAGCAGAGGAGGAGTCATTTTGGCCTCCCTGGGCAGGGAGTTCCAGATTCGCGGGGCAACCACCAAGAAGGAAGGCTCGATAAAGCTTCAGTGGATGCCCCCTTTTTTTCATGATAACTCTTTCAGGAGTGAATTTCCCTTCCTAGGAGATTTCCTCTAACTTCATATGGTCTCAGCACTGTTTGTAACTAGGAGACAGATGTACCGTATGTACTCGAGTATTAGCCGACCCGAATATAAACCGTGGCACCTAATTTTACCACAAAAAACTGAGAAAACGTATTGACTCGAGTATAAGCCGAGGGTGGGAAATGCAGCAGCTACTGGTAAATTTCAAAATAAAAACAGATACCAATAAAATTACATTAATTGTGGCATCAGAAAGTTAAGTGTTTTTAATATTTACATAACACTATAATTTAAGATAAGACTGTCCAACTCTGATTCTAAGCTTCTTCAATGTAAATGTACTTATATATCCTTCCAATAATACTAAAGAGAGTACCATCATAAATGTAGTAATAATGATAATAATAATAGAGTAAAAAAATTGAAATGTAATAACAGTAATAATAGAGTAAAATTATAAATGTAATAATAACAATAATAAATAGAGTAAAATTATACATGTAATAATAACAACATTTATTTATTATTTTTTATTTTATTTACAGTATTTATTTATATTCYGCCCTTCTCACCCCGCAGGGGACTCAGGGCAGATTACAATGTACATMCATATACATGGCAAACATTCAATGCCATAGACACACAACATATATAGACAGACACTCAGAGGCTATTTAACATTCCAGCTTCTGGCCACCAGGGGAGCTGTCGCCTCACCRTTAGTTTGTGACACTGATGGAGTACTTCCTCATTCTTTGCTTGCTTGCTGGAGATTTTATTGCAAYRTAAATTAGTTAAATTAGCCTCCCAGCATAAGCAGTACCTAAATTTCCTACTTGACAGATGCAACTGTCTTTCAGGCTGCAAAGGTCGACAACAARCTACACAATTTTGGTCGGAAGCTCACTCCGACCCRGGCTGGCTTCGAACTCATGACCTTTTGGTCAGTAATGATCTTAATGCAACTGACTCAGTCCCGGTGCTTAATAATAATAAATAATAAAGTAAAATAAATAATAAATAATAAAGTAAAATAATAATGTGGTAATAATAGGGTAAAATGATAAATGTAATAATAATAATAATAATAATAATAATAATAATAATAATAATTAGAGTAAAATAATACACGTAATAAAAATAATAAGAGTAAAATAATAAATAACCTTGACCCGAGAATAAGCCGAGAGGAACATTTTCAGCCTATAAAAAGGGCTGAAAAACTAGGCTTATACTCATATATACAGTAAGTCAGATGTCTGTAACTCAGGGACTATCTGTAGTGGTCTTTTTGCTAGGGAAATGGCCCTCTGCGTGTGTTGGTACAGAAGGACACACTGGAAGTGCAGGGGAAGGACATATGTTCTCGAGGCTGACAGGCTGTGTTTGGCTGACAGGCTGTGTTTGGCCTCAAAAGGCATCTCTGGATGGATGGGAGTGATGGAGCAGTGACGGGGAGAAAGAGAAAAAATAGAATAGAAAGGTTGGCTAATAAAGGAGCAACTTGGACCTGCTGTTTCCCCATGTTTCAGGCAATATGGAGGTCAGTAATAAGGCATTTGGAATTTTTCAACCATGTGATGCTACAGCTTCTCCAGTGTTTTACTATTAGCCATGCAGAGTGAGGCCTCTAAGAGTTACAGACCAGAATGGTTGCTGACCATAAATTTCCCAAGCTTTGCAGTCATGGGAAGATCTTCTCCATAGGGCGAAGGACCCTGGCTGTGATCACCAAGCTGGACCTGATGGATGCTGGAACAGATGCCATGGATGTGTTGATGGGTCGAGTCATTCCAGTGAAGCTGGGCATCATTGGGGTGGTCAACAGGTGAGTGCTAACAAGATTAGGGAAAGAAAAGCCACAGGAATCTGGTGTTGCCACTTGTGAGGACAAGATGCGTGTGTATGATGACAGTGTCACATCAGCATGGAATGTTCTTGGATGATGCTTTATATCTGTTGTACTTGAGGATCTAGGATGGGGACCCTCCAGCCCTCTTTGGGCCTATAGGTCTCTATTGCCCCAATAATTGCTAATGGTCCTGGGAATTCATAGATCAAAATATCTGGAGGAAAAAGGTTCCATAACCTTGATTCAGTTCCAAGACTTCACTCTACTTTGTGTTGGCAAGTTTCCCCTTCTGCCCTCTGTTTCTTCTCCCAGGAGCCAACATGATATCAACAGCAACAAGAGCATCAGCGAGTCTTTACAGGATGAGCAGGGTTTCCTGCAGAAGAAGTACCCCTCGCTCGCCAACCGAAATGGCACACGCCACCTGGCCAAAACCCTCAATAGGTGAGTGGGATCTGAGACATCCTTCTGCAGATAATTTCTTTCCTTTCAAAATATTATTTCTAGCCGTCCCCTGCCACGTGTTGCTGTGGCCAAGTCTGTGTATATGTGTGTTTGTATATATATACTGTATATATGTGGTTTTGCGCATGCGTTGTAATGTATTTTTTGTTTGTTGGCTTTTAAAGTCTCTTCTGCTGTGTTTTTCAGTGTTTTTATGAGTGATGGTCACTTGCTGGCCTGATAGGTGTCTTGTGTCCAAATTTGGTGTCAATTCATCCAGTGGTTTTTGAGATTCAGTCATTCACCCTGGCAAGCACTACATTCTCGATGTTCATATTTATTTACGATATTTATAGCCCGCCTTTCTCAGCCATACGGTGACTCAAGGCGGGTTAAAGAATGGCACAATTTGATGTCAGGCATTCATAAAAGTGCCATTAAAAACAATCAATATTACAATATAAAACATAAATAAAAACTGTTAAAGCATATAATCATTGGTGTCATCTTGTAAAAAACGTTATCCAGTAACATCGTCTGACCATTCCATGTTCATCATTCATGGTTCCGTGGTATCTGTTCCATTGCAGTCTCAAAAGTTTGCTCAAAAAGCCAGGTCTTTATTTTTTTTCGGAAAGTCAGGAGGGAGGGGGCCAATCTAATATTCCTAGGAAGGGTGTTCCATAGCCGGGAGGCCACCACTGAGAAGGCCCTGTCCTTCGTCTCTGCCAATCGCACTTGCGAGGCAGGCGGAATTGAGAGCAGGGCCTCCCCAGACGATCTTAAGACCCTAGATGGTTCATAGGAGGAGATACGTTTGGACAGGTAAGCTGGGCCGAAATTGTTTAGGACTTTATAGGCTAAATCCAGCATTTTGAATTTGTGCACAGTAGCAAATTGGCAGCCATATCTGTATATAGGATAGATTCTCTAAGAGAAATCTGGGTCCTATGAAAAAAGACATTACTTGTAAGTTACATTTGTCCATGAATCCCATCCAAAAGTGCAACTCTTTAGGAAAGGGGTCCTCAATTTTTTTATACAGAGGGCCAAGTCACAGTCCCTCAAACTGTTGGAGGGCCAGATAATAATTTGAAAAAAAACATGAATTCCTATGCACATGGCACATATCTTATTTGTAGTACAAAAGACACTTTAAAACAATACAATAATTAAAATGAAGAATTTTTTTAACAAATATAAACTTATTAGTATTTCAATGAGAAGTGTGGGCCTGTGTTTGGCTGATGAGATAAGGTTGTTGTTGTGTGCTTTCAAGTCCTTTCAGACTTAGGTTGACCCTGAGCGAGGGCCGGGTAAATGATCTTGGAGGGCTGCATCCGGCCCCTGGGCCATAGTTTGAGGACCCCTGCTTTATGATATGACCCAACTTGCACAAAAAGTATGATTTCATCTCTTTTGCCCCAACCTGCGCAATGGAGGAGGCAGTATTTGCTATTGACTGTGAACTCCAGTTTTCACTTATTCAGAGCACTGTTCAGTCGTGAAAAATAGAGGCTGGCTGTGGCCAAGTTACAGAAAGCAGTCTTGTGCTTCCATAACCTCTTGGTGCATTCAACATAGTACAGTCTATTACAGCATTCTCAGTTCAGTCTCCTTTTGGATACATTGGGTTCAAATGGAATCATTGTGTGTCTTTCTGCCTGTTCCCTGGCAGGAAGTGTGGACTCCCAAATGTGTTCAACAACCAATAAAAGCAGATGGCTCCTTCCTCTGAACTTTACCCAATTTTTAAAGCCTTGTTATGTACATTATTCCAACACGTTGCCCTTATCCTAGGGTTTTCTGGACAAGATTAATTTAGAGATTTGATTTAGTCTGAGACAAGCAAGCATGACTTGCCTAAGGTCACCTTGTGAGTTTTCAGCAGGGGTCCTCAAAATAAGGCCCGAGGGCTGGATGTGGGTCTCCAAGGTCATTTACCTGGCCCTTGCTCCGAGTCAACCTAAGTCTGAAACGACTTGAAAGCACACAACAACAACAAAATAATATCTCCTTCTACGTTCCGCCTTGTAGTCTAAGATCTGCCGGGGAGGCCCTGCTCTCGGTCCCACCAGCTTCGCAAACGCGGCTGGTGGGGATGAGGGACAGGGCCTTCTCGGTGGTGACCCCCACCCACCTATGGAATTCGCTCCCCAGCAAAATTAGATCGACGTCCTCCCTCCTTTCTTTCAGAAGAAAACTGAAGGCATGGTTGTGGAACCAGGCTTTTGGCTAATGGATATAACGGCACCTGAACAGTGAATTGGACCAGATGGTTGTTATAATGGAAATGCCTTTATGATTGGATAACGAATGTTGTTTTAATGTATTTTATTGTATGATTTTATTTTGCTTTTATAATTGTAATTATTGTGGCATCGAATCGTTGCCATTGTTAGCCGCTCTGAGTCCCCCTGTGGGGGTGAGAAGAGCGGGGTAGAAATGCTGTAAATAAAATAAATATCTCATCAGCCAAAAAAGGCCCACACTTCCCATTGAAATACTAATAAGGTTTTATTTGTTAAAATTGTTCTTCATTTTAATTATTGTATTATTTTAAAGTGTTTTTGAACTACAAATAAGATATGTGCAGTGTGCAGAAGAATTCATTCATTTTTTTCAAATTATAATCTGACCCTCCAACAGTTTGAGGGACTGTGACCTGGCCCTCTGTTTATAAAGTTTGAGGGGCCCTGGTTTTCAGGAATGGGAGATTTGAACACTGGTCTCCCACAGTCCTAGTTCAACAGCCCTAGTGCCACTAGTTTTCTTGAACCCTGTACTGAAGAGGGTCATCTCCTTGAATACTGACTATATTTTGATGCCCCTTCCCCCCTCAGGCTGCTGATGCACCATATTCGGGACTGCCTGCCTGAATTGAAGACCCGGGTGAATGTGCTCACAGCCCAGTACCAGTCTGTGCTGCAGAGCTACGGGCAGCCCATTGAGGACAAGAATGCTACCTTGCTTCAGATCATCACCAAGTTTGCCACCGAATACTGCAACACTATCGAAGGCACAGCTCGCAACATTGAGACCTCGGAGCTGTGAGTCACCTTTCCTGGCCAGCACGGGCCTGGGAAGGAACAGAAGAGTGGAGCTGAAAGTGGGGTTGAGACGAGGTATCTGTCTGTGTTTGTGAGTACATGTACTCACTCTCTGAGGATTGTACTATCTTCTTCCCTGCCAGGTGTGGTGGTGCCCGGATGTGCTACATTTTCCATGAGACCTTTGGTCGAACCCTAGAGTCCATTGATCCATTAGCTGGACTTACCATGCTGGATATCTTGACAGCCATCAGAAATGCCACGGTAAGTGACCATCATGTTGCTGGAAGATTACTGAGGCCACTTGTATATTCCAGTCACAAGACTGTCCCACCTTCTGCTTCTGCCCTTAGCTATCTTTCTAGTGTGGCTGTTATAGCTTGCGTCTGCCATTGCCATCACCAGGGTAGTGCCCTGGCTCTTTGTCAGGAGGGCTTTGATTACATTTTCTTGCCCTGGTGAAGGGAGTTGGACTGGATGGCCTTAAGTATTTTCTGTTGGTTGTAGGGGTTCTGTGTGGGAAGTTTGCCCCAATTCTGTCATTGGTGGGGTTCAGAATGCTCTTTGATTGCAGGTGAACTATAAATCCCAGTAAATACAAATCCCAAATGTCAAGGGACACAAAACTGGCACTGATTTTCTCAAAATCTGTCACATTCTATTTCTTCTTGCCTTGATGTGTCCCTTTCTTACCGTGATCACACCTTTTTGTAGTTTTGTTGCAAGGTTGCGCTTCTGACCTTCTCTACCTTGTCACACTTGTTCAGGGTCCCCGTCCAGCCCTCTTTGTCCCTGAAGTCTCCTTTGAGCTCCTGGTGAAACGTCAGATCAAGCGCCTGGAGGAACCCAGCCTTCGCTGTGTGGAGCTGGTGCATGAGGAGCTGCAGCGCATCATCCAGCACTGCTCCACCTACAACACACAGGTAGGTAGGAGTTCACTGTCCCTGCTCCAATCTGGCTTGTTGGCAAGGATTCCTGGATAAATAGTGTGAGGGTGAAGCCTTTTCAGACCTCAAGGGCCAATTACTGTATATACTCAAGTATAAGCCTAGTTTTTCAACCCTTGTTTTAGGTTGAAAAAGTCCCCTTTGGCTTATACTCGAGTCAAGGTTATTTATTATTTTACTCTATTATTATTATTATTATTATTATTATTATTATTACTATTATTATTATTATTATAATGTAAGATTAGTGTAATGTTAATGTTTAAATGTAATTTTTTTGCAATACCTGTGAATGTAACCTGATTGTATTACCAAAGAGTGAATTGAAACTGAAAGGGTTAATCAGTTAAGCCTGTAATGAACTGTAAAGATGTGACCCTGAGATTGCCTGGAACTCGTAGGGAGGATCCAGAGATAAGGTTTCGTTTTTCCTTCTTACTGCTGTGTCTTTTGTCTTGTTCCTCTCTGTTTGGTTGGATGTGTGCTGTATATTTGTTCTACTCAGTAAAGCTAATTGTTTGCTTTTACTGAAGTCTCAAAGTGTCCATTCTTCTAAGCTTCTAAGCTTCAGTCGCACTCTGACATATTATTATTGCATTTATTATTTTACTCTATTTATTATTATTATAGTTATCATTTAACTTTATTATTACATTTATTATTTTATTTTATAAGTGTTATCATTAAATTTATTATTTCACTCACTGTTATTATTCTATTTATTATTTCACTCTCTTATTATTCCATTGATTATTTTACTGTTTATTATTATTGGAAGAATGCGTAAGCACATTTAAATTGAAGATTAGTGCAGTCTTATCTTAAATTACCATTTTAATTAAATATTCAAAAAAAATTAACCTGATGCCTCAATTAATGTAATTTTATTGGTGTCTGTTTTCATTTTGAAATGTACCAGTAGCTACTGAATTTCTCACCCTCGGCGTATACTTGAGTCAATCCATTTTCCCAGTTTTTATTGTAAAATTAAGTAGCTCGGCTTATATTCAGGTCAGCTTATACTCGAGTATATACGGTACAGCAATTCCTGCTGTTCTGCATATTGAGGACAGTATGCATTTCAGGGCAGTGAATTCCACCAAGCTCCATGGGATTTCTGAACAAGCTGGCAAAGAACTGGGCTGTAAAACAATGTCAAATGTTTGCTTAACCAGCACTGCCAGCCAGTTCCCCTGCTGGTTGTAACACCACCTTGGCCTTTTTATAGAATCATAGAGTTGGAAGAGACCTCATGGGCCATCCAGTCCAACCCCCTGCCAAGAAGCAGGAAAATTGMATTCGAAGTACCCCTGACAGATTACCATCCAGCCTCTGTTTAAAAGCTTGCAAAGAAGGAGCCTCCACCACACTCCAGGGCAGAGAGTTCCACTGCTGAATGGCTGTCACAGTCARGWWSTTCYTCATGTTCAGATGGAATCTCCTTTCTTTGAGGCCATTGTTCCGCATCCTAGTCTCCAGGGAAGCAGAAAATAAGCTTGCTCCCTCCTCCCTGTGACTTCCCCTCACATATTTATACATGGCTATCATGTCTCCTCTCAGCCTTCTCTTCTTCAGGGTGAACATGCCCAGCTCTTTAAGCCGCTCCTCATAGGGCTTGTTCTCCAGACTCTTGATASTTTTAGCCTTTTGAACAACAAGCTAAACAAGCTTTGGCATTTGTGATTTTTAACAAGTTCAATGGGTTGTTTTTAAAAATGGTTTTCCTTTCAAACATGATCCGCTGAAGAAATATACAACCTTGCCCTGCTTGGTTTTTTCCATGCCTTTTGGTGGGTTGTGGAATAGTCTTTGCTCAAATCTGACATTCAGTTCTTGTGGGTTTTTTCGGGCTATATGGCCATGTTCTAGAGGCATTTCTCCTGACATTTCGCCTGCATCTATGGCAAGCTTCCTCAGAGGTCTTGCCATAGATGCAGGCGAAAGGTCAGGAGAAATGCCTCTAGAACATGGCCATATAGCCCGAAAAAACCCACAAGAACTGAGTGATTCCGGCCATGAAAGCCTTCGACAATACAAATCTGACATTGTTTCTGACATTGTTAACTCTTGCCCCAAAAGTGAGGGGAATCAAAACTCCTTGTCTGTTTTATCTTTTAGTCTGGATTATTACGTTTGATAAGGAAAGATAACTGGTCTTGCCTTGCTCATCTTGAAATATTACTTTCAGAGTAACATGCCCAGATTCCTATGATATCCTTGATAAGTGTGTGCAGATGGCTGTCTGAGGACTAGGGCCTAAGGCAATCCTAAATATTGTCTCCTCCTTTGGAAGGCGTTCATGGCCTTTGTCCTCCAGGCTGATATATATATATATAGCTGTTTTTAAGAATGTAAGCAAATAAAGTGCATCAAAAATGTGTCATAGCCTCACCTCATCCTTCATGAGACAAGAATAAAAAGCCTCTTGCACTAGGTATCCTCTGAGCCAATATATATTGATCACCAGGGTTGATTCGGCTGATCTGGCTGGCTAGGCAGGTGTCCCCTTCCTCCTACTCTGCTCCATGTGCGTCCCAAGTATAGGAGTGTACCGAGGTCTCCAGTCTTCGGTCCCGGGTATATCTTCTGACCAGATCAGGGTATTGCTGGATGTCCCATATCCGGATACAGATTGATGATGCCATTTGCTGAGACACAGACAAGTCTTGGGAGAGATATCACGATTTGTCTGGCTATTGTGTATAGTGGTGCTTTTTTGACCCATCCCCTCCATCTTATGGAAATGTTGCAGCAAAACTGAGTACTTGTTTGTTTGTGTGTTTGATTGTTGTGGAGGTTGGAAGAGAATATCAAATGTCTCAACCACTAGAAAAAGACATAGGAGGCATATGGTGGGTTTATGCTTGCATATAACATTGATCAGATGCCAGCCAGTGTTTTTAGAGGTCTCGGTTTACTAGTACCGGCTGCACCAAATTAGATGGCTTTGGTGGAAGACTCTAGACTTGTAACAGATGGTCCATTTTTACTTAGGACCTGCCTACCTTTTGACTGTCATCATAATAAGCAATGTCGGATTTCTTCCCACGTTGCTCATATTCTGCTGTAAAATTACCCGTATATACTCGAGTATAAGCCGACCCGAATATAAACCGAGACACCTAATTTTACCACAAAAACTGAGAAAATGGATTGACTTGAGTATAGCCAAGGGTGGGACATGCAGTACCTACGGGTAAATTGTAAAATAAAAATAGATACCAATACAATTACATTAATTGAGGAATCGGTAGGTTATATATTTTTGAATATTTACAAAAATGGTAATTTAAGATAAGATTGTTCAACTCTGATTAAATGATTATTTACCTTCTTCAATGTAAATGTGCTTACGTAGCCTTCCAATAATAATAAAGAGAGTAACATAATAAATGTAATAACAACAACAACAATAATAAAAAGAGCAAAATAATGAATGGAGCAATAACAACAATTATACAGTAAAACAATAAATGTATAATAAAAGAGTAAAATTATAAATATAATAATAATAAATAGAAGAAAATAATAAATGAAGTAGTAGTAGTAATAATAATAATAATAACAGACTAAAATAAAAATAACCTTGACTCGAGTATAAGCCAAGGGGGACTTTTTCAGCCTTAAAAAAGGGCTGAAAAACGAGGCTTATACTCAAGTATATACAGTATTTCTGAAGTGTGCAAATGATGCAAAGAAATGTCACAATCTTTTCAGAATTTTGCTCACAAGAAATTGTTGACATTGTTTTGAGAAGCTTCACATAAAATGTATGGTGTGAAGTAAGTGAAGGAAGGCAGGTCCCACAGTATCCATAGTCTACATTTCATGCAGGGAGGAGTTGGGAGAAGGCAACAAAGCATGGATGGTTATATAATAACAATTTTACAAGGGGTTCTGGTATTTTGATTGCTGACAGTCTGTGTTTTTGTGTGTGTGAAAAGTGTGGTGGTTTTAGTTTACTCTTACATTTAAGTGTAAATCTTCATTAAGTAGTGTTTTTAATAGGTTGCTTGAGAAAACCCTTGCTTTAAAAAGTCAAATCCGTCTCTTAGGAGTTGCTGCGTTTCCCCAAGTTGCATGAGGCAATTGTAGAGGTGGTGACGGGAGTCCTACGCAGGAGGCTGCCCATCACCAATGAGATGGTAAGGAAGGCTGGCTGGTTTTCTTCTACAAGAGAAGGGTGTCTGGCTCCTGTCTCTGTACCTGGGGATGTCCAAGCAAGGCTTTTGTTTTGTAGGTGCACAACTTAGTTGCGATTGAGCTGGCTTACATTAACACCAAGCACCCGGACTTCATTGACACAGCAGTGGTCTCTGCCTCGGTGAGCGGTTCTAAGGTACAGGCCTCCCTAAAACACCATTTATTCTGTCTCTGAAGCTTCAGTTCATGCCTGACTCCGCTCTGCTCACTCCAGCATTTCTGTGCACTTTCTCAGAATGAATCTGTTCCAGATGGGACCCGGCGATGGAAAAGTGAAAAAGCAGATGAACCCATAACTGAGGACAGGTCCAAGGGGTCCTCCCAGACTTCAGTCTATTCCAGCCCTAGTCGGTCCCATGCAGTCAACCTGCTAGACACGGTCAGCTGGGAGAAAGAAGGTGGGGAGGGGGGAGATGGGCTGGATTCATAGGAACCCATCCCCGACCTGCTGCATTATTTTTTTAGAAGTGTATTGTCTATGCTAAGTAGATATGATGGCATTTGTAGCCCAATGTATCTGAAGAGCATCCATTAATTTTGGACATTATCTATATTTAGGACATTAGAATTTACCCGTATATTCCGGCATATATAAGACGACTGGGCGTATAAGACAACCCCCAACTTTTCCAGTTAAAATATAGAGTTCGGGATATACTCGCCATATAAGACGACCCCTCTTCCAACGCACACCAAATAAATTTTTTAAAAGCATCAGATTTGATTTCAGCATGGTAATTTTCCTATTACTGTACCTCCTTCTCTGCCTCTCAGATCTCGCACATGTGCACCTGCACCGCTTCACTGCAGTCTTCAGGAGCGAGATCTGAGAGGCAGAGGAGGAGGTACAGTAATAGGATACAAGGGCGGGCCAGACAGGTAAAAGACTTGTGTTTTTCTGGGCCCAGAGCCACTCCATCTCTTTTTTCCATACCCCGGGCGCCCCAGACACCTGCAGCTTGCTCCGCCCTTCACTTACACCTTCCCGGTGAGGCGCCCCTTCACCTCACCATCGGGTCCGCATTAAGTCCACGAATCCTGATGAATGGATTTTTTTCCCACCATACTTGTACAGCGTCGTCCTTAATGCTTTCATACAGTTGCTGCATACGGCAGGGACGCGGCCACTGCCATTTTTGAGCTCCCCCCACAAAATGCAGCAAGCATAGATTCTCCAATCTGGATTGATAGTTTCAGCACCCGCTCTATAAGACGACTCCTCGTGTATGACTACTCCCGCATAAAAGACGACTCCCAGCGTATAAGACGACCCCTGACTTTTGAGAAGATTTTCTTGGGTTAAAAAGTAGTCTTATACGCCAGAAAATACGGTAGTTTAGTTTGAGGCTGGAATCGTCGATTGTGATATTGTGATTGTGGAGGCTCTTAAACCTGAGAACGAAATGCATTTTTATTCTGTTTCCAGACTGGTTGTTTTGTTTCCCATGCACTGAAAACAGTGCGGAGACAGAACTATAGCCCTAAATTGCATTTCGCTGGGTCAGCAGGGGGTAGGAGACATGTATGTTAGCACTCCTGAGGCAGAAATCTGGAAATGTAGGCTATCTGCTTCCAACAGCCTCTCAATTCCTCACCCTAGCCCATGCCTGCTACGCGGAAACTGAGCCAGCGTGAACAGCGAGACTGCGAGGTCATCCGGCGCCTTATCAAGTCTTATTTCCTCATTGTGCGTAAAAGCATCCAGGACAGGTAAACTGATTTGGCAGGGGATTTAGGCCAGGGATGTGGGTCAGATGTAAATGGCATCTGGATCTAGCACTCTCAAATGGGGCCTAGCAAGGTTACACACGCATCCCGAGATGAGATTCTGCTCGCCTAATAAAGGCTGTTCTCTGCTCTTCATCTTGCAGTGTTCCCAAAACAGTGATGCACTTCCTGGTGAACTATGTCAAGGATCACCTTCAGAGTGAACTGGTAGGACAGCTGTACAAGCCCCAGCTCCTAGACACGCTCCTCACAGAGTCCGAGGACATGGCACAGCAGCGCAATGAGGCCGCCAATATGCTCAAGGTGAGGGAATGCTTTGACTGGGCAGGGTAGCACAGGCAAACCCTGTCTGTGAAATGTTAGTTACGGTGGGAAATTTTGAATTGTTGGGGAAAGACTGTGAGTAGCTAACAATTCTCCACTGAGAGGGAACGGCATTGGCTGGGCAACTGCAATGCAGACATGCTGGGTTTCACTTTTGCTTCCTAAAATGCAAGCAGCCCTGTTCCATGCCACATTTAGAACAACTTTGGACCAAAGATAGGTGTGTCATCTTTGGAGCTTTCTTCTTAGGCAGCCCTGCCAAATTGTTTTCATTTCTAGAAGGTAATTCAAAAACATGACCAGTTATCACTCTTCCATGTTGTGTGCAGTTTTAATGTTGTATTGTCGAAGGCTTTCATGGCCGGAATCACTGGGTTGTTGTAAGTTTTTTCGGGCTATATGGCCATGTTCTAGAGCAGGGGTCCTCAAATTTTTAAAAAAGAGATCTAGGTCACAATCCCTCAAACTGTTCGAGGGCCGGATTAGAATTTGAAAAAAACATGAATTAATTCCAATGCGAACTGCACATATCTTATTTGTAGTGCAAAAAAAAAAAACCATTTAAAAACAATACAATAATTAAAATGAAGAACAATCTTAACAAATATGAACTTATTACTATTTCAGTGGGAAGTGTGGGCCTGCTTTTGGCTGATGAGATAGGATTGTTGTTGTTGTTGTTGTGTGCTTTGAAGTCATTTCAGACTTAGGTTGACCCTGAGCGAGGGCCAGGTAAATGACCTTGGAGAGCTGTATCCAGCCCTCAGACCTTAGTTTGAGGACTCTTATTCTAGAGGCATTCTCTCCAGATTTTGTTCATTTTCATGGTTTCCTCCTTTCTGTTGAAACTGTCCACATGCTTGTGGATTTCAATGGCTTCTCTGTGTAGTCTGACATGGTGGTTGTGAGAGTGGAAACCATGAAAATGAACAAAATCTGGCTACCAGTATTAAAGAACTCTAAAATTACAATAGCAAAACAACAGAGAGGAAATCATCAAGGACATCTAATCACCTCTCAACAAAAGATTGCCCCAGGAACTGCCAGGCCATCTAATGCTAATCAAGGTGGTCAGTTGAAACATTCACACCTAGCTCTAACAGACAAGAGTTCTTTATCCCACCCTGGTCATTCCACAGAAATATAAACCCATTTTCCTAGTTCCAACAGACCTCACTACCTCTGAGGATGCTTGCCAGGAGAGAATGCCTCTAGAACAGCATTTCTCAGCCTGGGGGTCGGGACCCCTGGAGGGGTCGCGAGGGAGTGTCAGAGGGCTCGCCAAAGACCATCAGCAATTTTCTATTGGTCATGGGGGTTCTGTGTGATAAGTTTGGCCCAGTACTATTGTTGGTGAGGTTCAAAATGCTCTTTCTTTGTATATGAACTATAAATCCCAGCAACAATGCCCAAATGTCAAGGTCTGTTTTCCCCAAACTCCACTAGTGTTCATATTTAGGCATATTGAGTATTCGTGCCAAGTCTGGTCCAGATCCATCATTGTTTGAGTTTACAGTGCACTCTGGATGTAGGTGAACTACAACTCCAAAACTCAAGGTCAATGTCCACCAAACTCTTCTAGTATTTTCTGTTGGTCATGGGAGTTCTGTGTGCCAAGTTTGGTTCAATTCCATCACTGGTAGAGTTCAGAATTCTCTTTGATTGCAGGTGAATTATAAATCCCAGCAATGACAACTCCCAAATGACAAAATAAATTCTCCCGGCAAATACCACCACTATTCAAATTTGGGCGTATTGGGTATTTGTGCCATATTCCGTCCAGTGAATGAAAATACATCCTGCATATGAGATATTTACATTACAACTTGTAACAATAGCAAAATTACAGTTATGAAGTAGCAACAAAAATGTTATGATTGGGGGTCACCACATGAGGAACTGTGTTAAGGGGTCGCGGTATTAGGAAGGTTGAGAACCACTCCTCTAGAACATGGCCAAAAAACCTACAACAACCCAGTTTTAATGTTCTTCTGCAGTGCATTCTAATGCACCTGATTTGTGATTCTTTCGTGCCCATGTGCATTTTACATAATGTTTATGGGCTACTCTGAGAGCTTGGGTAGCACTGAAGGTTGGTTTCTTGAAACATTTTTAGCTGTCCCCTAACAAAGTCCTTTTTTCTCTTGCAGGCGCTTCAGAAAGCCAGCTTAACCATCTCAGAGATCCGCGAAACTCAGCTCTGGTGAGCTGCATCCAGAGCTTTGGGGAAATCGCACCTCATTGAATGCTACTTGTCCAGTCTTATGTCCATTCATTTGTGCAGCACGCAGAAGTCTTTGGAGCTGTTTCCGAACAGGAGCACTGAGCCGGTGGCCAGGGCTTTCTCTCGTTCCTTTATAGAGTTGAAAGAGCCTGTCCACATTTAACTGCAGGCCTGGGCTCTAGGAAACATTCTGGTGTCAACATTCCTGGACTGAATAGAAAAGCCCAGCTTTCCTGTACTGCCTCATCCACGTCCCTTGCATTCCCAAGCCTGGTAGTCCATCAGTGTTAAATGACTGTTTTGTCCAGTTTGAAATCTGTTTCTCCACCGTTGCACCCTTGGGCCACTCTTTATTCATGGCAACCCCATCCCCCAAATCTTGGTGCAGTCAGTAAATGTTTGGATCGAGGCGGCTGTGTCAATATATGTGTATGCCCACCCAAGCACTAGGAGCAGACACTCATGTTGATGTGGACCTATGGGCGAATGCATTGGTGTTGCTAATTTTCTTTAGGTGGATAAAGAGGCCCTATGTACCTTTCGATTTAGTAAAACCTGTCTGGATGGGGAATCTACTCTGTGTCAGAGCTGGAGCTGCAAATGCCAGAGCTCGCTCACCTTGAAGCATATCCCCACTTTCACCTTTTTCATCCAGGTCTCATGTGCAATGGTGCCATTTACTTGAAGCTGCCACACTTTCTGAGGAGCTGTGGGAGATTGAGACAGAGTCTGAACAACCCTCATGTTTGCATGCACCTCTGAGCCATTGCAGAACCCACAGTGGACCTGCACATTTCATGAAATAAAATTGTGGGAAATTATTCATATTTTTGTGCTTTCGTATTTTCCAGGTGTGTGTTTGTGTGAGGGGAGGATACATATGTTCTTGCAGTAGTACAGTTGGTGTCTCACACTGGTGGAAGTCCTGGCTGAACCAGCATAAATAGTTTTGGGGGCAATATGAGGAGCTACCCTGTCCTGCCACATACAACTGGATGGTTTTTTGGTGCAACTCCATCTCTCATTCTATGGAGCCCCCGGTGGCGCAGTGGGTTAAACCCCTGTGCTGGCAGGACTGAAGATTGACAGGTCGCAGGTTCGAATCCAGGGAGAGGCAGATGAGCTCCCTCTATCAGCTCCAGCTCCTCATGCGAGGACATAAGAGAAGCCTCCAACAAGGATGATAAAAACATCAAATCATCCGGGCATCCCCTGGGCAACGTCCTTGCAGACGGCCAATTCTCTCACACCAGAAGCGACTTGCAGTTTCTCAAGTAGCTCCTGACACAACAATATATATATATATATATCGCTCATCCTCCACTGACTGGCTTCTAAGTGACATCTGGCTTCTGGTGCTCTGCATATTCAGCCTATTGTGGTGTAGACAGGAAATACGAGCCATTCCTGTAACCTTCTCCGAACACATGTGCTATAGAGTCGTAAACAATAGTTGGCCAATAACCTTACATTGATTTAAATAAGATTTGTACAGTATTTCTGTAAATCCTTATGTTAATAGAGGAATTTTACATTTCACTTTGTGTATCAGTCAGCCATCCCCCTGTAAGGCACCTTCCTGCTCTTGCAGTTATAGGATTGAAAAGAATAGTATTGATTAAATACACAGATTCACACAGCTGTGATCAATGCACATATGAAGGGAGGAATGAACAGAATTTCTATAGGAAAGCTGGTCTTTGCTTTGTTGGGAGTGGATAAATGGAGACCCAAATTTATGCAAAAAATGGAATGAGTCTCCAGCGCTGCATGGATTTTAAAATCCTTACACCAAGGATGGATAACTTCCCAAAGTCCAGAGGAAGACACAAAAATCGCACAATTAAAAGGACTGCACCTATTTCTACTCATTATTATAAATCAAGCATCCTCAGAAGTGGAAGCTCTTCCACTATCTTGTAAAGGTGAGCACCATTCTTATACATGCCTTTGTTGGCATGCCATTGTCATCACCCACCTGGCCCCTACTGAATGATGCAGACAAATAACACACAAGACACCCATTCTTCACACAGCAAGAACATTTGATCAATTTATGAAGCATAAAATATACAGTTTCTTATGTACAAAGTGGACCCGAGGTGAGGGGGTGAGGGGAAGATAGGGAACCAAAAATACAGTCAAGTTTTGGAGTCTTCCAGCCATGAGCCCCGGGAAAAGGGGCAGCAGGAGATTGGCCCATGCCACAGAAAACGCCACGGGCCGGAGGCCACCCCCTCCCTCTTAGAGGCTGATATTTATAATATATAGTATATATACACAGGAATCTCTGTACAGCAACAAACCCGACACAGGAAATGCAGTGCAGGGTAGGGACAAAGTGCATGCTGGGGGGTTGGGGTACAGGGTAGGAAGACCTGACATGGGATATGAAGGAAGGGAGGAGAAGTCGTCCAGGACACCGGAGGGTGGAAGTAGGAGCTGCTGAAACCACTATATGCTCGCAGCTCTAGGCAGGACTCCTGGGTTCCCCTCGAGCGCTCTGGAGTGTAATCAATGAAGGCCGAGGAAAACAAGGTATGGCACTTCCAAATGGGGCTGAGGATCGGTGAAGTCACAGGCCTCCCTGAATCCCTCCACTAATCAGTCCTCTTGTTACTCTTTTCCCTTCCTCAAACAACCCAAGAGGCCAGAAATCCAACCTATCACAGAGCACATGATCGTGACTTATGGGAATAACCAAAAGAACAAAGTGAAAATTGATAACATCAGCCTTCCTCAACGCAGGCCCTCCCTGGTGATTGATCACACCAGTCTTCCAGCAGCATGGCCGTTGGCCAACCTGTGGGAAGAAGGCCTTGTAGTCCAAAGCTCTGGAGGTGACCAGTGAAGAAGGCTAGATTAGATCATTCACATTGCCGCAAGGTTCCAGCAAAGCCAAGCCATGCCATTTGCTTTCTCAGGAAGCGAGAAATACAAGAACAACCCATCTTCAGAGATGGTCTTGCTTACTGCATATTGGGAAGTCTTATTGTTCTGTTTCTGTCTCCAAAAAAAGGGAAACAGATTGTTTACAAATGGGTTTCAAGACCAAAAGAATTCGATCTGTCCAAAAGTGACCATGTCCTTAGAAATATGTCACCAGGCACTATGAAATAGACATCCTTCCTTGCTTTTCTAAAATTTCAAGATGGTGCGTCAACCTCATGTCTCCCTCGGTCCCAAATCCAAGCATCAAAACATGGTAGTCCTGTTGCTAATCCTACTTGATGATAGGGGTGGGTTGTAGGATGAGGTAACAGGCGAAGGAAAGGTTGGGAAGAAGAATAGGCCTGGGTGGGCATGGTCAGGGATGAGTGAGATTGATCCCATCTTTTTTTCCTCCAAGAAACAAAGGGGAAGAAAGGTTAAAGTGCATCTTAGCTCCCAAAGAGAAGAGGAAGCGGGCTTCCCAACCTCCTCCCTAGTGACGGGATGAAAGAGCAATTCAGGTGAGAGATAATACCCCGCTTTCTGACCTTGCCCCAAATCAGTGAAAGGGTAGAGGTCATACAAGGCCAGGGACGGATATATATATTTATATGTGAGCCCCCCCTCCCCAATTAAAAATGTATTCAGTGCAAACCCTCGGCAGAGGTGGGGAGGGGAAAGGATTAAGAATAGCCCTTTATGAATAAGAACCAGGAGGGCAAGACACCTTCTCTCCTCCCACCCACCCACCCCCCATGTCCCCAATTTCTCAAAAAAATATCTATACTTGCTCTTTGCCCCCCCCCCCAACGCTCCTTCCTTCCTTTAATGTAAACAGCAAAAACTTGCAAATTCTGTGCAAATTAAAAAAATAAAAGGGAGTTCCTCTTCTCTTTCTCAAAGTGTTTGGGGCACTGTTGTCTTCTCTCTCCCTGAGTCACTTTGGCGGTCCTGGCAAAGGGCTGGGGATCTTTATTTCATATAAATATAAAGTGTCCTCCTAATAGAGAATTCCTTGGCAGTCCTTGCGGACACAGAGGAAGTAGGAAAGCCAGGTACCAGAGGCATCCTGGAAGCCAGGCTCGGCAAGAGAAAGTGGCAGTGGTGTTGTGTGAAGTGTGTTTGCATGTTTTCCCCGCGTGGTCAGCCTGTGAATCACACATTTGGTATATTCCTGCGCTCGCGCAGGCATCAACGGACACTCACGAGCTCGCTTTAACTGACCGTTAGAGTAGCCCCGCCCCTTTCTCCCCACTCATATAAATAGCCCTGCCACGGGGCTACCGGCTAGTTCTTCCGCCGCAAAAGCAGTCAGAAGTCCTGGGGCATGACCATACAAAGTGGGGAGGATGGGCGAGGATGTGTGAATTGACAGGCGACCACTCAGGAAACTATGTTTACAGGTAAGCAACCTATATTTTCCCCGCGTGGTCAGCCTGTGAATCACACATTTGGTAGACTAGTGAGCTGCTAACCTTAGTGGTGGGCGTCATGCCACAGCTGAAAAAAGGACCGCCCGGCCGAAGGCTGCATCTTTCCTAGACATCACATCCAGCTTGTAATGTGTCACAAAGGTTAGTGGTGTAGACCAGGTTGCAGCTCTGCACACTACATCCAGCGGTACTCCACTCATGAAGGCAGTCGATGTTGCCACTGCTCTTGTGGAGTGAGCTTTCACCTGCAAAGGCAATTCCCTCCCTGCCAAACTGTAAGCCTTACAGATTGCCAAGACTATCCAAAGTCGTTGGGACATTACCAGAAGACCAATGGCGTCCTTCCGGTACTTTAAAAAGAGTCTTGGGGATTTCCTAGTGCTCGAAGTCCTACTTATATAGAAAGCAAGAGCTCTCAGAACATCTAACAAATGTAGAATCTTCTCCATAGGGGAAGATGGGTTTTGGAAAAAAGCAGGAAGCACTATCTCTTGAGAAATATGAAATTTAGTGGCTACCTTCGGCAGGAAGGCCGCTGGTTGAATTCTTCTATTAGCTTTCTGTTTAGGTGCTCCCACGTTTCCAGTTTGTACAGTGGGGAGAAGGGCTTGCTCGTACAGAGCTGCTTTCAGCCTAATTTATCTGTTCTTTTTTGTTTGTGGCGTAAAGCTCTTGCATGTATCGCATGCTTGGGAGAGGTGAGCTTCTCCCAGGCATGACACACATTCAAGGTGTGCGTCGTTATCCGGTATTTTATTTGGGCATAATATGCATTTCTTAAATGAAGTAGTCATTTCTTTATATTATTTAAGCCTAAGCATTTGTGTTGCCGTTGTTGCTTTTTGAGGCGTATTATAAGAACTGACCAGTAGCCCCGCGGCAGGGCTATTTATATGAGTGGGGAGAAAGGGGTAGGGCTACTCTAACGGTCAGTTAAAGTGAGCTCGTGAGTGTCTGTTGCTGCCTGCACGAGCGCAGGAATATACCAAATGTGTGAATTCACAGGCGACCACTCAGGAAACTATGTTTACAGGTAGGCGACCTATATGTTCGCACACACTGTAATAAGCTCCAGTGGAAAGACTCTCCCACCTTGGCAACACCAATGGCACATCTGGCTTTGAATGAATGTGCAGAATAGGGAATTTCCTTAAGGGCTGCTTGTCATGCAATCAGGTGTGGAATTTTCCTTTTCTACACAACCATAAACGTTTTGTGACATCCTTAACCAGATAACAAATACCAGACTTGTCAATAGATGGAGCTGCTCTTCTCTCTTCAACCAGCAAACAGAAGAAAGCCTGCTGCCGATGGACTCTTCAGTAAACCAAGACCATGGCCATGTGGCTGGTTCCTATGCTTGTGGGATGCCCTTTTCCTGGTGTCGAATTCCTAATAGTGAAGCTGACAGCATTTCTGGGCTGCAAATCATACTATAGCAATGATATATGCTGTAGCGCTCAATGTTCCCCAGGGCCAATTTGCTCTTAGAAGGAAAGAGAGTTTTAGCTGGAAAAAACCTGCAATTTGATATTACAAACATCTTGTTTCAAAAGATAAAAGGCATGGGGCTCTTTTAGGGCCATCCTGCCCAAGGGAGACTTTTGCATGGAGCAGCATTTAGGCAGTGTTCTACCACCACTGCAACAAATGGTGGTTATTACCTTATGTGCTCTTTGCAAGAGGTTGAAATGCTACAAAAAAGGACATCCTTCTGCGGCACTTTGAGGGACAACACGGTGTAAAGTTCTGTGTCCCCTAAGTTAGTACAACTACGTTCCCCCTCCACTGCACCTCATGCTTTCAAAGACACCCCTCACTTCAAAAAGTATTGCACTGTCCGTAGACATCCTGTTTCCTAACCAAAAGGAGAGCAGTAGACAGGGGTAGGAAGAGAGAAGAGATGGAGCTCTTCGACAGCAAAGCCCAAAGACGGAGCCACAAGCGGCATTGCAGGTCTAGACGTCTTCCTTTCTGAGGCACTGCTCCAAAGGAGGCCCTCTCTCAGTTCTGATCCTAGGAGAAAGAGGAACGAGGGGGTCGGGAGTGGGGAGGGAGGGAGGAAGGGGAATGGCCATAAAGTGTAGATATCCTCCTGACTTCCCCCTTCCTACTCCCTTGCTCTGAACAGAGGAGCCCCCCGAGTTCTGTTATGTATGTATAGTTATATCTAGCCACCAGACCCAAGGTGGTGGTAGCAGCACTGGTGTTCCTCACACAACGGTGCTGATTCTGTTGACCTGCTTCGTTTTGGGGTTGGGAGGGCCCTGGGAGGGCATGGCTTGAGGGCCCCCCTGGTGCATGGGGATGTGCTGGGGCAAGGGGGAGGTAGGTGCTGCCGGAGAGTGGGGGCTGAGGGGAGTGTGAGGAGACGGGGGTGGGAGAGGGGGGTAGGAAGGATGAGGGGGAATGGGAGAATGGGGAGGAGGCATTGGGGGCTGGCCATGGTGCTGCTGAGTGGGGTGGCCATGATGCCCCGGGTATGGCCCAACGCCAGGTGGTGCAGGAGGGCGCTGCATGATTTGGGAGGGGTGATGACTAAAGATAAAGTGCTTAGGGGGCTGTTGCCTATGCAGTGTGTGCTGCCCGCCGCCCGTCTGGTGCAGCTGCTGGGGGTACGTATGGGCGAGGGCATGCTGGGGGGCTGGGCTATAGAGGGGAAGTGGTGAGGTGGGCTGGCGCCCATGGGGGAAGGGAGGGTGCTGGGAAGCTGCAGCGGCCAGCTGGTGTGCCCGCTTCTGCTGGCTGGGCCGGCCCAGGGTGTAATGGTGGTGGGGTTGTGGGGTAGGGAAGGCAGGCACTGCCTGCTTCTGGGGAGGAGCGGAGAGAGGGGGCTGCTGCGATTGGTGGTAGCGCTGGACATGGGGGGGCAAAGGGTTGGAGGGTAGGGCAAGGGGTGGGGGCGGAGGGGCCGGCTGCGGGGGYGGAGGGGGCTGCTGGGGGTATGGAGGGGGTGGCTGGGAAGAGGGGCCATGGCAATACTGGGCGTGGAGAGCCTGGAGCTTGGACTGGCTSCCGTCAGGCAAGGATGGGTGGCTGTGGTGGGGGTGATGCTGAGGAAGGTGGTGGTGGGATGAAGACGCTGAAGACGAGGAGGCTGAGGCCTGGCTGGGCGGCGTCTGAAAGGGACCCTTCCCACGTTTGCTGCCAAAAAGGGAGCCCAGGAAAGATGATGAGTTAGAGGGGGGCCGAGGCTGGGGCTTGTATTCCTCGGGAGGAGGCGGAGGCGGCACTCTCTGGTGGGGACGTGGGCTGCTAATGATAGATCCCTGGAGCAACACAGAAGGAGCGAAGGGAGAGAAAGAGTCAGAGAGGAAAAGAAAGGCAGACAGAGGTGAAGAGACAGAGAAACAGTGGGAAAGAGAAAGGGGGACGTGTTAGACAACCAGCTTTCATCATCACCTTTTGCCTCCAGAATTAGGACTATTCTTACATTGGCTCAGAGAAGACCCACCATTCCCAGCTGTCTGAAGGAAGGTGGGACGTAGTTATAAGTAGGAAACCCTGGCCCACTCTCCCTGTCCCAAGAAATGCTCCCCATGTTTTTCAAGCCCGTAGGTCTCTCTCTATTGAGGGCAGAGGTACAGATAAAGAAAATAAGAGACAGGCAGACTGAGAATGAAATAAACCTAGCAAGACTGCAAGGAGGCAAATGCATAGGGAGGGAGGGGGAAACTCATCTATACCCCTCCACCCGCTCCACTCCACAACTTGGCTCATTTTTCTCTGGACCACTTACTTCAATTGTGCTGTCCAAGGATCCCACGCTGTTACGACGACCCCGCTTGCCTGCAACAAAGCAGGAGTTAGCGAGACCCGATGTCCCATTCACCCTTTCCTGTCTCGCTGATATTCCCTTCTTTGCATTGGGGGTAGGGGGGAAGGGACCCTCCCCAATCCCATAAAGCAGAGCAGCAGAGCAGAGGAAGCGTTAGCAGGAGAGAGAGGAAAAACAGAGAGTCTTGTCCCTGCTCCACTTCAGTCTGATATAGCGTAGGGATTATATGACATACTTCCATATTCTTTTAATGTCAATAAAACTACAGCCAGCTCTTGTATGCCTGGATGCTTTATCCACATATTCAACCATCCAGGGCTTGAAAATATGCCCCTACCAAAAAAGTTCCAAAAAACTAATCTTGATTTTGCCATTTTAGATAAGGGACACCATTTTACCAGGTAATATGTAAGGGTTTTGAACATCCACGGAGTTTGGTGTCCATGGTAGTCCTGGAAGCAAACTCAACAGAAACCTTTAAAAAGAACCTTAAAACCTGGTTCTTCTGCTGCGCCTTTGGTGAGTAGGTATACAATCTCACACTATTGCTCAGCCTCAACGTTCTGTCATTGGAGTATACGTCCCATCCCCCCCCCTCGTGGGAAAGCTTGATTCCACCACCCCCACTATAATGAGTCCTCCTCCACAAATAATCTCTCTCTTTTATATCGCCTGAGTTTTTAACTACTTTTAATTAGTTTCTCTTTTAATCATTACATGTAGCCCGCCCACTGTCATTGTGATTGTGCCTACTGTAATTTTATATTGTTATGTATTCACATGTTTTATGTAATTATGTTGTTGTTGTTGTTGTTGTTTATTGTTCACATTTTCAGTTTTACTCTATTGTAATTTGTTGTCTGGGCTTGGCCTCATGTAAGCCACTCCGAGTCCCCACTGGGGAGATGGTAGTGGGGTATAAATAAAGTTTATTACGAGGGGTATTTTTTAAGTAAGGTCCGTTTTGTTGTAGACACTAGTAGTTCGCGCGCATACCGCAACGAGCGCGTGTGTTGTGTACCGGCATGCCTCGGGAACAACTGTGCTCAATTTCTGCTCTGTAGCTAACCTGTACGGTTCTGTTCTGTGCTTTAAAAATGTTTAAGACTATCAACTCACCCTCCGCATGTGAGGTTCGCTCACTGATATGGTTTTTGTCAGCAAGGAACCTGCCTGCTGTAGAAATTCATCGACAGATTTGTGAAGTGTACGGTGATACTGTTATGAGTGAAAGCAAAGTGCGTAAGTGGGTACGACAATTCAAAGATGGCCATAACAACGTCCATGATGAGGACCGCTCTGGTCGCCCTTCTTTGATTACAGACTATTTGGTGGCTTCAGTTGAAGCAAGGATTCGTGAAGAGGGTATTTTAAAATTGGTTCAGAGGTATGATAAGTGTTTGAACAAACTTGACAATTATGTCGAAAAATAGAGTGAAGTCCACGCTCTGGTAGTCCACGCTCTGGTTACATCCCGTTTAGACTACTGCAACGCTCTCTACGTGGGGTTGCCTTTGAAGACAGCTCGGAAGCTCCAACTAGTCCAACGCTCGGCAGCCATGATTTTAACAGGAGCGGAGCGCAGGGAGCATACAACCCCCCTGTTGCGCCAACTCCACTGGCTACCGATCTGCTACCGGGCTGAATTCAAAGTGCTGGCGTTGGCCTTTAAAGCCCTAAACGGTTCCGGCCCAAGCTACCTATCTGACCGCATCTCTGCCTATGAACCCACCCGGAGTTTGAGATCTTCCGGGGAGACCCTGCTCTCGATCCCGCCTGCTTCTCAAGCTCGGCTGGCGGGGACGAGAGATAGGGCCTTCTCGGTGGTGGCTCCTCGGCTGTGGAACGCCCTTCCTACGGACATGAGACTAGCACCATCTCTAATGGTATTCCGCAAAAAGGTGAAGACCTGGATGTTTGTGCAGGCGTTTGAGTAATTTAGTGCAATCTGGTAATGGAACATAGGAATGGAACAATGGACGACGAACCTGGACTACGCTTGGATGATGAGAAGATTGGGTGCGGTTGTTTTTCGTAATAATTGTGCATTGTAATTGCTTATTGGTAATTTATGGATAATGTGTTAAGTCAATTGTTATATGTTGCATGGAACCACTGCTGTTTCTACTGTTTTTACTGTTTGTGAACCGCTGTGAGTCGCCTTCGGGCTTGAGATACAGCGGTATATAAGTAAAGTAAATAAATAAATAAATAAATTTCCTTTTTTGAAATAAACTTTCGTTGTGTACTTATGTTCAAACGGACCTTACTTAAAAAATCCCCCTCATATATACATTTATCTTATCACTGTCACTGTTCTTATCAGTGTCAGGGTACCAACTGTAACTGGGTCAGAGTGTGCAAGGATTTCTGTTGCCCCCCCCCCCCCCAAAACCTGTACTTTTCCTAAGACATGGAAAATAGTTGCAGTTTCTCCTCACTCACCCATCAGTGTAGGCATTTGTCTTCCAACAAGAAGCCCACTTCCACTCATGTCTGCTGACCTGCCCTTGCAACCCAACTCTGGGAGCCTCATATTTTTAACCATGTTTACAGGAGGCAATTAAATTATAGGGCAGTTGTTCTCAACCTGTGGGTGCCCAGGTGTTTTGGCCTACAACTCCCAGAAATCCCAGCCAGTTTACCAGCTGTTAGGATTTCTGGGAGTTGAAGGCCAAAACATCTGGGGATCCACAGGTTGAGAACCAATGTTATAGGGGATATCATAATGTACATCTTCAGTTTTCTTTCAGTTGGAGTGGGATGTGTGTGTGTATATATAATAAATAGGATCTATGGACCTCAGTAAAATATTGAGGTTTAAGAGGCTCAAATGGCAAACACTTTCTAGACTGTGCTGCTCACCTTTTACATGACTGTGAGTGATTCAAATTTCAGTGTTCCCCTCATACAAAAACTTCCTGCTGGTAGAAATGTCATGGAGAAAGGTTCAGCCTATACTTCTTTTTTTCTACATGAAGGCATTTGTCTCCTCGTTAGAGAACATTCAAAACACTCAATTTTACACCTAATGCTTTCAACGATACAGTCTAGAAACTCCTGCCAAATGAAAACCAAAAAAGGTTCTGCTCCCTGCTCTTCATCTCTGGAAACAGTGCACTGGGGAAGGGAAGTAGGGATGCCATCTACAACGTTTCATTTCAGTGGTCAGCTGGCAACACCTACAGTGCCACAAGAACCCCACCATCTCCCAGTTCTGCAGCACCTTTTAAGTTCTCCACCTCAGCACAAATCGAGAAACTCTGTTTCCTTCCTGATTTTCACACCAGCCCCGAGTCCATCAGGCCCTCTCCTCCTGGAGCCATGGAAAGAACCCAGAGTTCTGACCCCCAGCCCCTCACCAGCGTCGGAGAGGTCGCGGAGGGAGCTACTGAGAGCACTTCTCTTCAGTCCTTCTCCCACCGTGTAGGCGTCCTCCAGGCTGCTCCGGGTCAGCGTCCCATTCACAGCATCCTTGGGTCCAGAGGAGGGTGAGGCATTGGGGCGCATCACTCCTTTCTGCTTCTCTAACTCCGCTGTAAAGGTTCATGGAGATAGACAGGAACACATTTAAAGTCCTTCCCTTTTCTGTCCCACAGTTCTAGTTTAGATACAGGGCGAGACAGCATAACTTCCTTTTTTAAAACGCGCGCCATTCAGTTGGTTGAAGACGTAGAAGAGCGCTAGTGGTCTCGTTTGAGAGACGGGAGTATAAAGTTTTGTCCTGACACAGTTCAGTTGCCATCATGCGTTGAAACAGTGAGGAGCGTGCTTTTGCCATTGAGGCCTACTTTTCGAGCAGTTTTGGAGTGCCCGGCCCACTCTCCAGATTTGGCCCCTTGTGCTTTTTTTCTATGGGTTTTTTTTTCAAATCCCGTGATAAACCGTCAAGGACCCTACAAGATTTGAAGACCAACATCCAGGAAGAAATTGCCAACATAACGCCTGCTATGCTGGCAAGAGTCATGACAAACGCCAGAAATCGTTTTACTCAGTGTATGGAGAATTGAGAATGGGGGATGTCACCTACCTAATTTGATCTTCAAAACTACGTAAAACAAAACTATAGGTATGTGCCTACATTTATATTTATTTATTTATTTATTTATATATATATATATATATATATATATATATATATATATATATATATATATTTTATTTGCACATAAAGTTTGTGCGCCAGCTGCACCCGTACCTTAGAATGTTCTTCAAGCTTTGGTCCTCAAAATGTTCTTGATGTCCATATAGACTACTGCAATGCTCTCTACGTGGGGTTGCCTTTGAAGACTGCTCGGAAGCTTCAAATGGTCCAGCTTCGGCAGCCAGGTTGCTAACAGGAGCGGCACTCAGGAGCATACAACTCCTTTGCTTCCCATTCCTACTTCTTTCTCACCTTTCTCCTTCCATGCCTTTTAAGCCTAAAAAGGTAAAGGTAGTCCCCTGACATTAAGTCCAGTCATGTCTGACTCTGGGGTGTGATGCTCATCTCCATTTCTAAGCCGAAGAGCCAGCGTTGTCTGTAGACACCTCCAAGGTCATGTGGCCGGCATGACTGCATGGAGCGCCGTTACCTTCCCACCGGATCTACTCACATTTGCATGTTTTCGAACTGCTAGGTTGGCAGAAGCTAGGGCTGACAGCGGAAGCTCACGCCGCTCCCCGGAATCGAACCTGCGACCTTTCAATCAACAAGCTCAGCAGCTCAGTGCTTTAACCCACTGCGCCACTGGGGGTTATATAGGCGTTAGCCTATAAAGCCCATAATGGTTCTGGCCCTACTTACCTCTCCGAACGCATCTCCTCCTATGAACCGACTAGGACACTAAGATCATCTGGGGAGGCCCTGCTCTGGTCCGCCTGCATCACAGGCGTGCGCTTGGCGGGGACGAGAGACAGGGCCTTCTCAGTGGTGGCCCCTCGGCTGTGGAATGCCCTGCCTGCAGATATCAGATCGGCCCCCTCCCTGCTGGCGTTCCGGAGGAAAGTGAAGACCTGGCTGTTCGAACAAGCATTCAATTAAACAGTGTAATTGAACATAGGAATACGGAATAATAGATGATGAGACCGGATTCTGATTTTACTGTTGAGGCACTAATGATTGTTATAACTGTTTTTAAACTGCTTTATACTTGTCTTGTGATGTTCTGCATTGATGTTGTTAACCGCTTTGAGTCGCCTGAGGGCTGAGAAAAGCGGTATAGAAATAAAGTAAATAAATAAATTATTAAGTTTTGAAAAAAGGAAGTTATGCTGCCTCACCCTGTACAAGACCTACACTGAAGGAGCCCCAGCAAAGGTCTTACATATGATGTACGCTAAGGTCAGATATGTCTGCACATAACAAAACAAAACTGCTACAGATATGCAGTACCTAGCTCTGTGTGGCAGGGACGGCTCATCCTTAGAATGCCACAGCCCTTAGCAATGCTCCCAGTTTCTTTCTGTTTTTTTACTACACTCAATCATTTTAAAATACATTTCCCACCGCAAAGAGAAGTAGGACCAACCACTCACATTCCACACGATATTTCTCCATCTCTTGTACTTCTGCAATGGACTCCCGCAGGTCACTGGTGAAGCGCAATCGATCCTGCAGACTGGGGGCATTGAAGATGATCAAGACTTTCCTTTCCCCACCAGGAACAGCTGAGAGCAGTTTAATCCCAAACTGGTAATCTGTGTGGAAGAGATTCAGAAACCGGCTGGGTGAATCATAGAGTTGAAAGAGACCTCGCAGGACATCCAGTCCAACCCCCTGCCAAGAAGCAGGAAAACTGCATTCAAAGTACCCCCGACAGATGGCCATGCAGCCTCTGTTTAAAAGCCTCCAAAGAAGGAGCCTCCACCATTCTTTGGGGCAGAGAGTTCAACTGTTGAACAGCTCTTACAGTCAGGAAGTTCTTCCTCATATTCAGGTGGAATCTCCTTTTCTGTAGTTTGAAGTCATTGTTCTGCGTCCTAGTCTCCAGGGAAGCAGAAAACAAGCTTGCTCCCTCCTCCCTATGACTTCCCCTCACATAGCCATCATGTCTCCTCTAAGCCTTCTCTTCTGCAGGCTAAACATGCCTAGCTCTTTAAACTGCTCCTCATAGGGCTTGTTCTCCAGACCCTTGATCATTTTAGTCGCCCTCCTCTGCACACATTCTCCTTCAAATTGCGGTGCCCAGAACTAGACACAATATTCCACGTGAGGTCTGACCAAGGCAGAATACAAAGGCACCATGACTTCCCTCAATCTGGACACTAGACTCCTATTGATGTAGGCCAAAATCCCATTGGCTTTTTAGCTGCCACACGACATTGTTGGCTCATGTTTAACTTGGTGTCCAGAAGGACTCCAAGTATTCCTGGATGACTTGTTTCTCTATTTGGGGTTGGATTTCCCCTAATCCTTTGTCAACTCCATGTTGCTGAGGTTGAGGATGGCTTTCTTTTTGTGAGAAGACTGAGGCAAAGAAGGCATTAAGGAGCTTAGCCTTTTCCCTATCCCCTGTTAGCATTGCCCCATCTTCTCCTCGCAGAGGCTCTATCGCCTCCTTGTTCTTCCTTCTTCTATTGCAGTGGTTCTCAACCTTGCTAATGCCGTGACTCCTTAATGCAGTTCCATATGTTGTGGTGACCCCCAACCATAATATTGTTTTCGTTGCTACTTGATAGCTGTCATTTTAATACTGTTAAAAATCGTAATGTAAATATCCGATATGCAGGATATATTTTCATTCACTGGACTAAATTGAGCACAAATACCCAATATGCCCAAATGTGAATGCTAGTGGGGTGGGGTGGGGGGAGGATTGATTTTGTAATTTGGGGGTTGTAGTTGCTGGGATTTATAGTTCACCTATAATAAAAAAGCATTCTGAACTCCACCAGCGATGGATTTAAACTGTACTTGGCACAAAGAACTCCAAAGACCAACAGAAAACACTGGAAGGGTTTTGTGGTCATTGACCTTGAGTTTGGGAGTTGTAGTTCACCTATATCCAGAGGAGCACTGTGGATTCATGCAATGATGGATCTGGACCAAACTGGGCACGAATACTCAGTATGCTCAAATGTGAACACTGGTAGAGTCTGGGGAAAATAGACCTTGACATTTGGGAGTTGTAGTTGTTGGGATTTATAGCTCACCTACAATCAAAGAGCATTCTGAACTTGACCAACAATAGAATTGGGTTAAACTTCCCACACAGAATCCCAATGACCACCAGAAAATACTATGTTTTCTGATGGTCTTTGGCGACCCCTTTGACACCCCCTCACGACCCCCTCCGGGGTCCCGACCCCCAGGTTGAGAAACACTGTTCTATTGACATAAGAAAAGAAGATCCTCTAGCATCCAAAAGCAGGAAACCAGGGAACATCTATCTATCTATCTATCTATCTATCTATCTATCTATCTATCTATCTATCTATCTACCTACCCACCCACCTCCTATTATTATTATTATTATTATTATTATTATTATTATTAATATTATTAACTTTATACCCCGCTAACATCTCCCGAAGGACTCGGTGCGGCTTACAAAAGGCCAAGGCCAACACATCAATAAAACAACAGTATAACAAATACAACAATAAATAATCTCATAAAGCAAAACAATAACATTAAAACAATAGCAATAAACATTAGACAATAACACCACGACACATTTAAAACCTATCAATCCATCTTCCTGGCTTTCTACATGCATGGGGTCCAAGGTGGTGTACAACATTTTAGAAGCGCATTACAATAAAAAACCCTCTTCATACAAAAGGTAAAACACAATTAAATTTCTGTTACAGAAAAACACAAATTAAAGATAGCTTTAAAAACATGCCTGAAACAATATTAAAGTGTGTTTAACACAAAATAAAATAAAAACATGATACTGTCCCTTGCAGTAAAAATTCCATCTGTCGCAAAAAGCTAAAAATCCAAAGCTTTCTGAAATAAAAATAGGCCAGGATTTTGACTTTTTCTGCGAAGGACAGTACCAGAGTGGTTCTGACTACATTCCTGAGGGGCAGGAGAGGGTGGATAGACCACACGTGGGTTAAACTGGCCTGGCACAGGAACCAAGAGTGAGTGAACAGAAGGGCAAAAGGACCTGCTCTTTTTGGAAGGGGAGGGTGGAGGTTTGGTATGAAACATGTCACTCTTTCAGGGCTCACAGATTTACAATGGAAAGAAGGAAGAACATACTGATTTGGTACATTTTAAAAATACGCCAGGGTTGCAGCTTCCGGCTCCTCAGATCTTTGGGTTTACAACTCTCACAAGTTCTACCCAGAACAACAACAGAAAGGAATTTTGGCCAAACCATCTAGAGCAGTGGTTCTCAACCTGGAGTCCCCAGATGTTTTTGGCCTTCAACTCCCAGAAACCCTAACGGCTAGTAAACTGGCTGGGGTTTCTGGGAGTTGTAGGCCAAAAACATCTGGGGACCCCAGGTTGAGAACCACTAATCTAGAGGTCCAGTGCCTGCTCACAGAGGGAAGGGGATGCAACGAAACTGCTAATCTTCTCTGTAGCCGGTCAGGATACTTACAGGAGTTCTGAAAGAGCTGCAACTGCATCTCGACAAGAGGAAAGCTCTGGCGGAAACTGTAGGTCACAAGGATCTTCTTCTTCTGGAATATCTTTGTCACCTAAACATTGTGTATGCGTGTGTTTAGGAAAGGATGAAAAAGAACAAGATTAACAGAGGAAGGTATCAACAGGAAGAAGTTAACCACTACTCTATGCTTCCTAGGCCCACTCAGAAGTACATGTAGCCATCTGCATCAACCAGGCCCACTTCTATGTTGAGATAAAACAGCTTAACCCACCCAGTAAGATACTACTCATTGTTATTCAATCTGATTCTTATATTTGCAGGGGCACATTCCTGAACGGTTCCAGCCCAATTTACCTGTCCGAACGGATTCTCCCCTATGAACCATCAAGGTTGTTAAGATCTTCTGGAGGGGCCCTGCTCTCGGTCCCACCTCTTTCGCAATTGCGCTTGGTGGGAACGAGGGACAGGGTCTTCTCGGTGGTGGCCCCTCGGCTCTGGAACTCCCTCCCGATGGAGATTAGATCTGCCTCTTCCCTCCTAACTTTTAGAAAGCCGGTAAAATCATGGTTTTGGGACACTACATTTGCAGATTGATGACTGAGTCAATAAGTGTTGACCTACTGGCGGATGGTGATGAATTTGTAATTTGTGATTTCACTCTGACGAACTGACTTTTTTGTAA